TCAAGATGGCAATGCTGAAGTGAGATATAGAAAGTGGGAAACCAGAGGGCAGTCTAGCCCCTGGCAAGTGGGTGTCATAGAGAAAATTATTACAAATTATTAGGGTGCCTCCACCCAGGCACCTCCGCCTTGGTTACTTACATCTGAAAACTCTGGGTGTCATGGTATGAATTATGGTGAGGACGATCTTCGTGAGAGGATATTTTATTTGCTTCATATTTACAAAGCACTTTCCCAAACAGGATCTCCTCGATGCTGGGAGGTTGCCAGGCAGGGCTCAGTGTCCTTGTCTCCAGCCCCACAGAGGAGGCACTTGCCTTACCTAGGATCACATAGTATACAGTTTCTAGAGCAAATTGCTTGGAACTCAGATCCCTGAAGAAACAGTCATTCCAAGGACAAAGTCCAGACCTGGGGAGGAGTTTGGGGAGGGAGTGTTTACTCAGGATCCCAGGGGAAAGAAAATTTAAAAGGACTCTGGCTTGCAAAATGTTGGTGGTTTAGTTGCTGAGTCGTGTCTGACTCTGATCCCGTGAACTGCAGCGCACCACGCTCCTCTGTCCATGGGATTTCCAGGCAAGAATGCTGAAGTGGGTTGCCATTCCCTTCTCCAGGGAATCTTCTTGACCCAGGGATTGAACCCGTGTCTCTTTCGTTGCAGGTGATCTCCTGCGTATCAGGCAGATTCTTTACCACTGAGCCACCAGGGAAGCCGGTTTTGCAGGATAAGCAAGGCTCATCTTCAGATATGTCTGAATGCTTTTAGCAAGTGTGCACCAGACAGTGTTCATGTCCCAGGCACCATGCCAGGACATGAGGGGCTGGAGAGGATACCCTGCTCTTCAAAGGCTTGTAGGGGAAACAGACATGATGATCGCTGCCACAGGGGACAGCCCAAGGGCTGTTGCCTGGCCTGAAGGGTAACAAGTTGGTTTGTACAGAGATTAAAAGTCACTCTCTTATTCTGTCAGTGTCAGGCTGTCATCCTAGAGCTGAGATTCCCCCACTCCAGGTGACAGCGGCTTCAGGAAAAGTGCTCAGGGCAGCTTCTCAGCCCCAGAGCACCCCTGGTGGCAGGTATGAGAATCTTTTCATTGTTCCCTCAAGTCTAGGCAGTCTCTCCTTGCTCGGAGCTTGCATCTGTGCAGAAGTGCATGTCACACACTTGTCACTCACTCCTAGAGCTTTAAAATAGTGTCCATAATGTCAAAAATAAAAACCTAGGCAAAAGTCACAGAAAAAGTAATACAGACGGCCAGTGGTCTTACAAAAAAGGTCAATTCCATTACTTGTAAAACAAATACAAATGAGCAAAACCTCAAGATTCTGAATATTTGTTAAATATTAAAAGTACCTCAACACTGTTTATAGTTGGTTAAAATTGGAAACAACCCTGATGTCTGATCAGAAGGACCTGATTTGGTAAGTGAAGGCATTCCTTACATCAGAGATTATAATAAAGTGGCCCTAAAACACCGCTTTGCAGAAGTTGTAGGAACTGCAAGAGTTGCGGAAATGAGTTTTTGATACCATCACATGATAAATGCACAAAGCAAAAGTTAGCATTTTGTAGAAGCAGACTTTGGGAAGAATTTAAGTGTCTATGCATAAAAAAAGAAAAGCCGAGACACATTTATAATATTTGTGCCTAGATGTCACTGTATTCCTTGTTTTCTTTTTTCAAAATAATTGCAGGTTAAGACTAAAAGCACAGAAAGTTATGGGCAAATGCTCCTGAGAGCGTTGCAAAGTAGGGAGGGCTGACAAGACTGAGCAAGGAGGGGCAGGAAGGAAGAGACCCGAGTTCTGGTCCTCTTCTCCCATCGTGTGAGGTGTGTGACCTTGGACAAGTCACTCTCCGTCTCTGAGAATTGATTTCACCACTTGTGACATGAAACGGGTATGGCATCATCATCAGGGGAGAGTCCTCCCCTGAATCTCCTCCTCAAGGCAGAGGTCTGTGTGTTTTACCCATGGCTGTGTCCCTGCCCCAGAACTGGGCTGGCCACATAGTAGGGACTCAGAAAGCATTTGTAGAACTGAGTCAAAAGTCAATTTGGGTATTAGAACAAAATCCAAATACAAATGAGCAGCAGAATGGTGGTGGCCTTCGACACCTCCCACCACCTCCCTTTCATCTGTTCCCTCCTCCTTCCTTCTGCTCTCTCTTGCTTATTCTAGCATCTTTGAGTTTGTCTCCCATTCTGCATCCCATTCTCTCTTTTCCTCTTTTACCTTCTCTCTCTCTTCTTCATTTCCTCATCTCCACCTAGTTCCAATGGTGATTTTAAGCTCTTGACAAAAATGTTTAGTTTTGATCATGTGGGAAGCCAGTGGAGAAAACCAAGAAACAACCCAAGGTCTGTGGGCAGAAGACACCCACAGACCTGTTGGCCGGTCAGCCAGGCCTGTCTGAGCGCCTAGCAGGGCCGCGCCCAGACCCCTCTGCTTTTAATTGGTCTTGGCTGAGGCCTTGTTCAGATACTTGTTAAAAGCTTCTGGATGACTCTGAGGTGTGGCCAGGGTCTGGTCTCCTCCAGGTCTCTGAGGAGAACTGGACAGGACACAAAGTGTCACACAGTAACCGGAAGGTCATAGATTGGGGTTTGAGGATGGGGTGCTATGGAAGGGAGGGGCTTCATTTGGGGGAGAGTCGGGGGGCCCCGACAAGGAGCAGATGGGGTGAGCCGAGGTGTGGGGAGGAGAGGTGCGGGCAGCAGGCGCTAGGGGTGCCAGGCCCCGAGGCAGGAGGGAGAAGGTCTATCCAGGGAGCTGAGATGGGGGTGGGGAGGCCGGGCTGGCGGGGATTTTATCTCACGGCAGTGGGAAGCATGGAAGGGTTGGAAACAGGAGGGCAACCCGACCCAGTTTCCATTTCAGTGAGATTGAGTGCTCAGCTGCTGCGGGGTCTGGAAGGGAGGGGAGGGCTTTGCGAGGAGGTGGCAGGTGACCAGTTACCCTTCCCAGGCCGGCGGGAGGAACAGTGTGTGCAGAGGTGCAGAGGCAGGCAGGAACCAGGGTGGGGAGGGGACTAGGAGGTGCTGTGAACAGAAGCCAGGGCAGGGAGTGTCAGGAATGGCAGTGACAGCCCTGGATGGCCTTCCGTGCCAGATTCCAGCACAGTGGATTGAGGGGGAGCCAAGGAGGGGGTGTTGCTGGTCAGTTTAGTTCAGTCACTCAGTCATGTCTGACTCTTTGTGACCCCATGGACTGCAGCACTCCAGGCCTCCCTGTCCATCACCAACTCCCAGAGTTTACCCAAACTCATGTCCATTGAGCCAGTGATGCCATTCAACCATTTCATCCTCTGTCATCCCCTTTTCCTCCTGCCCTCAATCTTTCCCAGCATCAGGGTCTTTTCCAATGAGTCAGTTCTTCACATCAGGTGGCCAAAGTATTGGAGTTTCAGCTTCAACATTAGTCCTTCCAGTGAACACTCAGGACTGGTCTCCTTTAGAATGCACTGGTTGGATCTCCTTGCAGTCCAAGGGACGCTCAAAAGTTTTCTCCGGCACCACAGTTCAAAAGCATCAGTTCTTCAAGTGCATTTTAGGGGGCATCTCTGGCAACTGGGCAGGATGGGAGGGGAAGCAGGAGATCCAGTTAAGGGTCAATGCAGGAGTCTGCTGAGAGCAGGTGAGGACCTGGGGACTGGTGAGGAGGGCACGGGGCATTCCCTGTCCACTTCATTTCTTCCTCCCCTAGAAGAGCACCTGAGCCATTACTTATTCCTTACCTGTTTAGTCGCTAAGTCATCTCTTTGCAACTCCATGGACTGCAGCCCGCCAGGCTTCTCTGTCCAGAGGATTTCCCAGGCAAGAATACTGAAGTGGGTCACCATTTCCTTTTCTAGGTGATCTTCCCCAACTCAGGGGTCAAACCCACATCTCCTGTGTCACAGGCGGATTCTTCAGCTCTGAGTCACCAGGGAAGCCTGGGAGTGGGCTTAGCCCTGCTCAGTTGAGTCAGTTTCATATAAGAAGCTTTCCCAGAAGACACACACAGCAGATCTACTCAACTGTGTTTGCACTTAAGGGAAATTGGGGAAATGTAGTCTCTTGGATGATGTATTGCACCCCCTGAATAAAATCCTAGGTCTGTTTCTGTGGAAAGAAGATGAATTGATAAGGGGAAGCCATATAGGAGCTTAATAAATGTTTGCTCAATAAATGCAGCATGAGTTAGAAACACCTGCCTTCCTGCAGGATCTGTCTATCCATCCACTGTCAAACATTTATTAAGCACCTAGTGTGTGCCTGATAGGGGTGACGGTGAAGACAGAACGAAGGCAAGTTTCCTTCCTGGAGGACCTCGGATCTAGTGTGGAAGCAGGTGGGAAGGAAGCATCACCCATTAGAAGTGGGTTAGAAGTACCTGAGGCTGTGGGAACCTGCAAGAGACCTGTCCCCCTGCCCCTCGTGGATGGTGACCGGAGCTGAGTTTTTCTGCTGGGCCCCATGCCTTCACTGCTGTAGCTGCAGTCTGGATGCTTGCTGCCTGTCACATGCTCCGCAGGCTGGGAGGGGGTGTGTGCTGGGTCAGGGAAGCCCCACAAATGTATCCCTGCCTGTCTTTTGGGGCGGGGCCCAGGTACACCTGGCTGTGGCCAGTTGGGCCTGTGGACAGTTGAGGGACAGGATTCCCAGAGGCCTTGGGCAGGTGCCAGGGTGGATACAGAGGGAACTTCCGCCCAGGAAGGAGAGGGGCCTGGAGCCTTTGATGCTGCCTTGGGGAACCCGGGGGTGTCTTGGCTGAACAAACAAAGCTCCTCGTCTGCTAAGTGGAATCTGGGAGCTCATGGGAGGCAGTTTTATTGGCAGGACCAAGAGCACAGGGGCAGGGCCCTACTGCCAGGCCACGTGCCCTCTGTTGTCCTCACCAGGGGAGGGGATCCGACTCCCTCCTAGGGTCTTTGGGAGGGCTTGATGGGGACAGGCTTGGAGAGAGCAGTTCAGCCAGGGACACCCACCACTCTTTTGACCTCTTGTGTCTTCCTCAAGGATGCCCTGGGCCATGTTCAGGATGAATCGCTGCCCCTGCCCCTGGAGGAGGCGCTGGATGCTTGCAGAAGCCAAGACCCCGACGGGGCACCTAGACCGAGGGACTCAGCAGGTGCGTGGAGGAGGGGTCTTCATGGACATCCACTGATGGGCTAGCTCACTTACGGCGTCCTGATGACCCAACAGGGTGGTGGTCCCTGCTCTGCAGACAGAAAGCTGAGGCTCAGAGAGGTAGAGTCCCTTGCTCACTGCCACTTAGCTGGGAAAAGTGGGCTCAGCCTCCACAATGCCCATGACGAGGTCCGTGATGCAGGCTCAACCCAACATTTAGGCTCACTCCCTCAGCCCTCAGAAGGGTGCCAACCAGGCAACACATGTGTCAGCCTTGGGCAGCAGGGGTCCTCTCAGGGGGATTTGTCTTCGGAGAAGACCATGTGATGACCAGGAGCTGTTCTGTTTCCGGCCCCCACCCCAGTGACAGCTCAGGTGTGAGACAGGCGTGAGGTCTAGGAGTAACCAGGGCTTGAAAGTCACTTGTCTGTAACCTGATGGGAACCAGTGTGTCTGCTCAGTCTCGGGTGCAGCTTCTGGGGCGTCTGCTGCAAAAACTGGCACACTCAGGGAGCCCCAAAGCCATAGTGTCCACCTGGCTATGGTTTGCATACAGTCCTCCAAGGTCAAGTTCAGTTTCCTTATAAGGTCAGTTATACCCAGTGGTGCTGCTGACCAACAAGGCTGACCGTTCCCCTCCACAGTTCTGGGGAGCAGAGCAGATAAGTCAGACAAGGTCAAGTTTGTCCTTGGGGAAATGAGTGGGACCCATTGGCTAAGCCTGGGTATCAGCTCCTCCGTCCACTCCGTGTGGGGCTGGGGGCCGGGAGTTACGACCCTGCATGATTGTCTTCGGAGAAGACCATGTGATGACCAGGAGCTGTTCTGTTTCCTGCCCCCACCCCAGTGACAGCTCAGGTGTGAGACAGGCGTGAGGTCTAGGAGCAACCAGGGCTTGAAAGTCCCTTTTCTGTAACCTGATGGGAACCAGTGTGTCTGCTCAGTCTCTGGTGCAGCTTCTGGGGCGTCTGCTGCAAAAACTGGCACACTCAGGGAGCCCCAAAGCCATAGTGTCCACCTGGCTGTGGTTTGCGTACAGTCCTCCAAGGTCAAGTTCAGTTTCCATTTAAGGTCAGTTATACCCAGTGGTGCTGCTGACCAACAAGGCTGACTGTTCCCCTCCACAGTTCTGGGGAGCAGAGCAGATAAGTCAGACAAGGTCAAGTTTGTCCTTGGGGAAACGAGTGGGACCCATTGGCTAAGCATGGGTATCAGCTCCTCCGTCCACTCCGTGTGGGGCTGGGGGCCGGGAGTTACGACCCTGCATGACCGTGAGGGTGCAGAGCTGAGGGAGGTGTCCTGGGCTTTGTGGTCAGAGGAGGTGGCTCCCAGACCTGATTCTGGGACTCATCAGCGGGTGGTCACTCCCCATCACTGAGCTGGGTTTCTCATCAGACAGGCAGTGGTGACCATGAGGCCGCCTTTGGGGGCTCAAAGGCCTTGAGTCACGAGACTCATCCTAACAGCGGGTGTTGCTGTTGGTGACACTCGCCGGAAAGTTCTCGGGAGGGGCTCCTCCCTGGCGGCTCAGATGATAAAGCATCTGCCTGCAAAGCGGGAGACCCAGTTTCGATCTCTGGGTCAGGAAGATCCCCTGGAGAAGGCAATGGCAACCCAATCCAGTACTCTTGCCTGGAAAATTCCATGGATGGAGGAGCCTGGTAGGCTACAGTCCATGGAGTCGCAGTGAGTCAGACACGACTGAGCGACTTCACTTTCTTTCTCTTCTGTCACTTCCCAGGCCAGCCCTCCAAGGGGCCCCATGCCTGGGGCTGTGTCCTGGCTGGACAAGGACCTCCTGTTTTGGTCCCTGGCCCACAGACCACGAACAAGCTCCCCAGAGACCTTGCAGGATCTGACCATGGACAGGTGAGGGCAGTGGCTTTCTCCATGCCTGGGGTAATAGCTGGGTCTGATCAGCCCTATTGTGCATGCTGCACATTCAGGAGGTGGGAGAGGGTGGGGAAGAAGTTTGGGGTTGGAAGAACATTCTGAAAATAATTGAGAGGGCGATTTGAGCCCCGGGTGAGGAGTGGGCAGGAAGGGAGCCCCAGCTGTGTGCATGGGCCCAGCTGCCACGTAGAAAACTTCATCTCCTTGAAACCTCCCTACCACCTGTGAGGCAAGAGCCATGACCCCCTCATTCTGCAGAGGAGGAGGCTGTGATTTCCCAAGGCCTCCCAGCCCTGGAGGGGACTGAGGTCCTGTCTCCATAGCCCACACTCTGCACCATGCTGTCCCCTAAGGATTGGGAGCCTGCTTCCAACCAGCCCTGAGGTGTTTCTAGAGAGAGGGGCCTTCCTGCGTTACTTCCATCCACTCACCTTCTGCCCTGCACCCTGCTGGTGTGCTGCGTCATGTCCAAAGTGGAGAAGAGCTGAGAGCAGGCCCTGGGGTGGGAGGGGCTTCGTAGAAAAGCTGGACCCCAATGGAGGGACAGAGTTAGACAGACTGGAGACCAGGCATGGGCAGCGGAAGGGCGGGCGAGGTGGGAGGACCCGCCAGGTAAAGGCGGTGAGGCTGGCAGCGGCCATGGCGTAGGGATGGGGCTGTGGATACAGGTGAGCCGAGGGCTCCCGGTGAGACTGAGTGAAGCCAGGTTTCACCTCCCAGACTGGGTCTGTTCTCTGAGCTGGGCCAGTCCTCCTCTCTGGTTAAATGCATTGAATGAAAAGTGAAAGTGTTAGTGACAGACTCTTTGTGACCCCACGGACTGTAGCTCGCCAGGCTCCTCTGTCTGTGGGATTCTCCAGGCAGGAACACTGGAGTGGGTTGTCATTTCCTCCTCTAGGGGATCTTCCCGACCCAGGGACTGAACCCAGGTCTCCTGCACTGCAGGAGGATTCTTTACCATCCGAACCATCAAGTAACTATAAAAATACATTCAAACGTATCTCTGAAACACCTCCTGTGTACCCTGGACTGTTCTTAGCCAAGGGTCCCTGTCTTTGGGGGGTCAGATAGTCTCTACTGTGTGTCCACTAGAGCCTTCTTGTGTTAGGAAGACTCATACGACTGGGTGGGGAGATGAGGTTTGAGAAGTGGGGAGGCCCCTGTGGGAGAAAGGGGCGCTTCACACCTTCTCTTCTCTTCCCATCCCTAGTTTACTCCAGCGGAGCCCAGCTCGGATGACCAGACTCTCCTTCTCATCTGTGGCTGCCCGCCGGGGCAGTCCACGGATGGCTCACCACTCCCTTTGGAGCTGGCCTGGGTTCCAGGGCAAAAGCTCACAGCCACACCAGCCCAGGGGTCCTCTCTCCGTCTGCAGGCGTCTGCACGCCCTCCCCAGGGCCAGGCTGCGGGCCCAGCTCCCTTGCCACTGCTACTCCTGGAAGCTCCCCCAGAAATACTGCACACCCAACAGGTGCTGGAGGCCCGGCCCCTGCCCGCTCCCTCTGTAGCAGGACACCCTGGCCGGGGCCACCACCGTGCAAGAGGCCGCACTGCCTTCCTCGGCCAAGAGGCCTCGCACATTTCACATCACCAGTTTCCCAGGAGAGGATCTGAGGATGGAAAAGACTCTGGGAAGGAGGGAGGAGGAGCCCCAGGGTCAGGGTGGAGATTGGAGAGGCGAGAGGTGAGGACTTGGGGCAGAAAGCAGGCAGAAAGCAGGGACAGGTGTCAGCCGGATCAGGAAAGAGGGGAGAGTCTGAGGGTGGAGGCTGGGATCAGGGCCCCAGAGGGCGCATGGATGAAGGCCAGATGGATGAAGGCCAGGGCTTCTGAACCCCTAGCCGCAGCATCTTGCTCTGGGCGCAGGCGGGAGCTTCCACTGCTTATTCTTCAGGGGGAGACCTCAGTGTCCTTGGAGGGTCCTGAATCCCTGAGCAGGAGGGGACATGAGGAAGGGCATGTCTGGGGCCTCCAACGAGGAGAAGGAGAAGAAGGAGCAGGAGGAGGGCTTTTATCATCATCATCAGAGGAAGAAGCCGCTGCAGCCACCTTCTCCGGGTCTCAGGGCACCAATGGGCCGCCTTCAGTGGATGCCCAGCCCCTTAGAGAGCAGAGCAGAGCCGTCGGGAGAGTTCAGGGCAAGGAGGAAGACTCTGTGTGGTCTGGAAACGCTCTGCTTCCCCCCGAGGGAAGCCCTTGGGGGGACGGACAGGAAGAAGAGGAGAAGGAGGTGTCCAGCCCGGGTTGCAGGGATGTCCCGGAGGAGCCTGGCTCGGAGGACAGTAAGGCCGAGGAAATGCTTTCCCAGCTGGAGGAAGGAGGTTTGCCACCGTCTCCTGGATTGGCCTTCTGGTCCGAGGAGGCCGGAGCCACCCGTCACCCCTCGGCTCCTAGCAGAGGCCCTGACCAGTCTGCACTCAGAATAGAGGAGTTTGAAAAGGAGATGGAGGCTTGTTTCCAACACCTCTCCATCCTGAACCTTGGGAGAGGGGGGCATGGATGGAGAGCTTCCTCGGTGGCAGGAGAGAACTGGGGCTTTGCTCAGAGATGGTGCAGCTGCCAGGGGGTCGTGCACCCCCAGCAGGCTTTGACAAACCTGGGTTTGGATATTTGTTTTGTTGAGGGAGAAAACCCCAAGGAGCCTGGTGAAGATGTTAAGCCGGGAGAGACTGAGGTCCTGAGAACCTGCAGCCTTCTTCCAGGACTGATGTTGGATTTGGTCGACCTGAGCCCGGATCCTCCAGAGGGGCCCTCCGAGCGTGGTGGGAACCACCTCTCGCAGCTGCCAAGAGCCCTTGAGAGAGCACAGAGCAGGTTTTATCAGCTCATTTCTGGATTGAAGAATGAGAGAAACAACGTTTTAAGTGATAATGCCAGGCTTCAGGGAGATCGGAAGAGATGCCATCAAAAACTGTGCGCCCTGGAAAAAGAGAGGGAGAGAAACGTGAAAAAAATATCTGCGCTCGAACAGGATAAGAGCGTGCTGTTAGGAGACATCTCTCACTTAAAGAGGGAACTGGACCAGTATGTGCAGGTCATTTCTGAGCTTGAAGATTGCAACAGGAAGAGTTACTGCAAGATTTCTGAGCTCGAAGAGGAAAATGAAAGATTGAAAGGGCACCTGGGGCAAATCCAGAAAGCCATGTCCACGAACATCCGAAAATCCAAAGGTGTGATGCAGCACGTCGCCCTGGAAAACTGGGAGCTCGGTGCGCTGACTTCGGAGCTCGGGGTCAGTTACAAACAGCTGATAAAGGATATCGTCCTGGGAATAGAAGGCATGATCCGGGCCTTCAGGGGGGAGAACGAACACCTTCTAAGAAGGATCCAAGTCCTGGAAGCAGAGGTTGCGTTGGGGAGCAGCACAGATGGGGGGCCTTTGGTGAGAGCCCAGGAGCGTCTCCAGGGGAAAAGCACGATGGACCAGGTGAACACGGTAGAAAGAGGGGTGCAGGTGACTCAGATTTCAGGGAAACTGACTGCAAGAGGCCCCGGGCCGCCCTCGGAGCAGGATAGGGGTCTGGCTGGGGGACGGACAGGACTGTGCTTAAGCCTGGACAATTCCAGATGCGGTGCTGATTCTACTGCTCCATCACTGGTCTGGGGAGATGCCACAGGATCCAGGGCCCTGCAAGGAAACACTGATGGGGCAGGAGTGAAAGAAGCGCATTTGGAGAAAGAGAAAAAAGCACCAAGCTGTTCTGCAGACCGAGGGCGAGCACTGAGGTCCCCGCGCGGTGGCATCCGGGTAGGTTGACTCTGCGTGGCTGTTGAATCATCTTGCTGACTTTCTGTATCACTGACCACACCCTTTACTCCCGCGTCCTGCAGCAGCCCTGAGAGGGAGGAACAGTCACCATCCCCATTTACCAAATGAGGAAACAGGCACAGAGAAGTTAAGTGACTTGCCTCAAGTCACACAGCTGGGAGGGATGGAGCCTACATTCTGTCTGGGGGTTCAGGCTCCAGAGTCTGTATTCTTGCCTACGACAAGATGATGAGAGTCTGCCTCTCTGCTCAGGCTGCTTAGATGGGTATCTGGTGGGACATGGAGAGGGTGTTTATCCTTTAAGATGAGAGCTTGTATTTTCAGACCGAGCAGTTTTTCAAACAGCTCAAGTCATCATTCTACTTATCAAGTCTCTACTGGTATATATGTATTTATTTATATTGAGGTATAATTGACCTCCAACATTGTGGAAGTTTAACGTGTGCAGTGTGTTGACTTGATACATTTATATATGGTAATCTGATTACCACCACAGCTTTAGCCAACACCTCTATCACGCTGGGACTTAAAAGGAGACAGCAGGGGGCTTTAGAACTTAAACAAGGTTCAAACTCACCTCTGCACTGACTCAATCCATCCATGACTCCTCTGAGTGGTTTTCCTCATCTGTGGACAGTACTCCACTTTCAGGACTCCTAGGATGAAATGCTGAAGACCTTGTTCCAGTGTCTAAGATACACAGTGTTAAGTCCTTTGTATACATTCATATCTGATCTCTCTGCCTCTGTCTTTCTTCTCTTTCTCTCTTTCTCTCCAGTTTTATCAATCACTTCACAGGATCATCTTTTGGTTTTATCGATGTTCTTTGTTGTATGTGCTTAGTCACTTAGTCATGTCTGACTCTTGGCAACTCCATGGACTGTAGCCCGCCAGGCTCCTCTGTCCGTGGAATTCTCCAGGCAAGAATACTGGAGTGGGTTGCCATTTCCTCCTCCAGGGGATCTTCCCAACCCAGGGATCAAACCCAGGTCTCCTGCATTGCAGGCAGATTCTTTACCATCTGAGCCACCGAGGAATGTCTATATTTTATTTCATTGATTTCTTCTAATAACTTCATTGTTTCCTTCCATCTACATTTTTTTGGTTTAGTTGACTGTTCTTTTTCTGGCTTCTTGTGTTGAAAATTTGGATCACTGATTTTCAACTGCTCTTCTTTTGAGATTTATGCATTTAAATCTATGCATTTCTTTCTAAGCACTGTTTTAACTACAACCCACACATTTTGATAAGTTGTACTCTTTATGTCTGTTCAGTTCAAAGTAACTTCTAATTTCTATTGTGATATCTCCCTTAACCCATGGGTTATTTAGGAGTGTGTTGTTGAATTTCCAAGCATCTGTGTAATTTTTTAGTTATATTTTGCTATTGATGTCTAGTTTTATTTCATTGTTGTCAGAAACATACTATGTATATTATTGTAATCTTTTGAAATTCATTGAGATTGGTTTTATTGACCACGTGATGGTCTATTTTGGGAAATATTCTATGTGCCCTTGTAAAGAATGAATGTTCTTCTGTTGCTGAGTATTAATTAGGCCAAACTGGTTAATTATGCTAATCAAATCTTCAATATCTTTACTGTTGTGTGTTCTGTTCATTTTGTCATCTACTGAGATGTCTTTTGAGATCTCTTCTTTTTATTATGTTAGTTTTGATTCCTATGTTTTTGAAGGTATTTATGAGCTATGCACAGATTTAGGTTTATGATGTTTTCCTGGTAAATCAGTTCTTTAAAGATGATGAAATGTCTCTCATTATTTCTCACATTTCTTGCCCTAAAATGGACTTTGTCTGATACTAAAATAGCCACAACAGTTTCTTTTGGTTCATGTTTCCATGGTATATAACTTTTTTTATACCATCCATATCTTTCCATTCAATCTATCAGTATCTTTATATATAAAGCATATTTTTTAGAAGCAACATATGGCTTTTTTTAAACTTAGCTCTGAGTAAGTTTGACATCCTCTGCTTTTTAGTTGGCGTTTTTGTTCCATTTTTGTTTCATATACATAATGGTGTAATTGGCTTTATTTTTGCCTTGTTGGCATTTCTCTTTGTCTGATCTGTTGTTTTCTTTTATTCCTTCTCTCTTTCCTTTGTTTTTGGTAAACTATTTTCTGTTATTCCATTTTCTTCTCTACTGGCTTACTTTGTCATGCATTTTAGTGTCATTCTTTTAGTGGTTACCCTAGATATTTCAAAATGTATCTATTAATCATTAAAATTTACTTTAGTACTTTAGTACCATGTCTCAAATAATGCAAAAATCTTTTAATAGCTTAACTCCATTTATTTCTTTTATCCTTTTCATTGTTTATTTTTGTCAATTATATTGCTTCTGTGTATAACATCCCTTGTAAAGCACTGTTAAGGTTGTTTTAAACACTCAATAATTTTTTTAATTTACTCATATCTTTCTACATTCTTGTACTATTCATTCTTTCTTCTACTTCTGTGGATGTGTTTTACATCCACCTGAAGAGCTTTTTTGTTTCTTGTAGTTTAGGATCTGTTGGTGATGAATTCTCTCAAATTTCTTTTTATGACAACAATTTTTCAACTCCACTTTTAAAAGATTTCTTCCCCTTGATTCAGAATTTTAGGTAGGCAGATACGGTTCCTTCTTTTGACACTTTAAAGACCTCATTTCATTGTCTTCTGGTTCTCACAGTTTCTATTAAAAAATTGAGTAATTTGTCTTTTCTTCCATGACAGAAATGTGTCATTTTACCACAGACTATTTTAAAGATTTGCCTTTTATCTTTGGGCTTTGGCAGTCAGACCGTGTCTACATGAGGTTTTATTTATGTTTATCCTCCTTGGTTTTTCTGAACTCCTTGAAACTGTGGAGTCTTGTCTTTAATCAGATTTGGAAAATTCTTGGCCATTAGTTCTTTAAATATTTTATTCTTTTCAATTTTTCTCTTCTTTCCAGGAAACCTAGACTTTTTTTTTTTAACTTTACCCCACATCTTTTGAAACTGTTCTTTATTTTTTTCTCTTTGTGCATCAGTTTGAATTTCTATTGACCTGCCTTCTAGCTCACTAAAAGTTCTGCCATTTATTTCTGCCATGTCCTGTTTTCTAATAAATCCATCCAATTAGTTTTTAATTTCATTTACTGTATTTTGCAATCAAATATTCATTTGACCTTTTCAAAAGAGATTCTGATTCTCTGTTGAAATACTCCATACTGTCATTCATTTTCCATCTTTTCCTGTGTTTTAAAGAAATATAATCATAGTTATTTTTGAAGCTCTTGTCTGCTAACCCCAGTATGTAAATCACTCTGTTTCTGTTGACTATTTTATTTCTTAGTTAAATCCCACTTTTCTGCTTCTCCATGTGACTAGTAATTTTTTTTAAATGTTGGACATCATGCAGAACATGTTGTAGGGCTTCCTGTTTATTAGCTTCCTCTAGAGCAGGTTGAGTGAGTTTTCTAATAGGTAGCTGAATGACCAGCAGACCATATTATTCCTTTGCATGTCTATTTCAGTTTTCCCCTCAGGTCCAGGGCTTGATTTTACTCCTAAAGTATGGCCCTTGCTTCTAGGGCATGGCCTTTCAGTGGTATCAGCTGAGTTCTCAGAGCATTGACTAAAGACCCTCTACTTTGGCTCGGCCATCTTTGTAGCCGTGAATGACCTCTAAAATCTCTTCAGCACTTGACCTCCCAGCTTCTGTTCTCTGCTAGGCTTCTGTTGTTGTTGTTCAGTCCCTCAGCTGTGTCTGATTCTTTGCTTCCCCATGGACTGCAGCACGCCAGGCCTCCCTGTCCTTCATAATCTCAGAGTCTTGCTCTATGCTCTGCCACTTATGATTCAACCAAGGACCCAAGGGTATTTCTAAGACAGTGTCTGGACTTTATCTCTGCAGTTCACTTCTCTCTGCTACTTTGTCCCACACACCCCAGCTGTCATAGCATCCCTGACCCCAGTCTGTGGTTTCACTTAACAGGACCACAGTGTTCAGCTTGGGATCTACTTCCCTAAACCATGGTTTGCAAAATGTTCCGGGGAGAATGTGGAGCTCATCTTGTTGGGCATCCTGTTTCTCAAGGATGGTAGCCTTGCATTGGTTGCCATTCGTGCCTGCAAAGAATTGTTTTTATGTAGTTTCCTCATATCTTATTAGTTGTCAAATCCCACCTAGTCAGACCAGGTGGGAACTGGAACTCTGAGGAGGTGAATTTCAAGCCAAGAGTTTCAAAGTTTGAAAGGATAAACAGATGAAGAACATTCCAGGCAGAGGGAGAAGCAAGTGTCCAGACTCTGAGGCAGGAATGAGCCTGGGTTATTGGAAAAGCAGAAAGTTGCTGGCATGGCTGTATCACAGTGGGCACGGGTGAGATGTAGCGTGAGGTGTAGATGAGAAAGTTGTCATGAGAAAGACTACAGAAGGCCTTGTAGGCTCTAATTATGATCACTTCTAAATGCAGTAGGAAACTGTGTTGGAGGGTTTTCATCAGAGCAACATGATTACATTTCTACTGTAAAAAGATCACTGCTATAAAGACACAGGGAAGACACAAGGAGAACAGTCAAGAGGATTTTGCCAAGAGATGACACTAGCATAGAGGAATTTGAAATTTTAAAAAAACATAGAGGATTCCAGACAAAAACCAGAGTTGGAATCAGTGGAATTGGTAGTGGACGGGAGGCAGAAGGTGAGGAAAGCTCACCGTTTCCTTCATCCCAAGTCACAAACCTGATTGTGTTTTTGTTTGTTTAAAAATAAAAACCCTTAAAGCCTTCTGTGTCTTCCTGTCGCACTTGGTACAAAGTCCAGATTCCTTTTGGTGAGTTATAATCTGGCACCTTGAAAATGTCAGTTGTTGCTAGATAGGTCCCCAATCTCTACACTTCTGGATCCTAGATTTGCTCCTCCTACACGTACCCAGCTTTCTCCTGGGACCTGCTGCTCATCCTCCAGGTCTCCCTTTAGGGCTTACATGCATGCTAAGTCATTTCAGTCATGCCTGACTCTTTGTGACCGCATGGGCTGTAGCCCACCAGGCTCCTCTGTCCAGGGGATTCTCCAGGCAAGAATGCTGGAGTGGGTTGCCATTTCATCCTCCAGATGATCTTCCTAACTCAGGGATCGAACCCACATCTCTTACACTTCCTGCATTGGCAGGCGGGTCCTTTACCACTAGTGCCACCTGGGAAGCCCTCACTCTCAGACGTCTCCTCCCAACCCTCCAGGATGGGTTCAGTGCAGAGATGGTTCCTGCGCATCTCTCCCATGATGCCATTTTGGTAGCTTGCAGTTGGCCGTGATGGTGTTTACACTGGAAAAGTCAGCAAATGCTGCACATCTGTGTGCCCCCCACCCCCACCCCAGAGAGTGGAGAGGGCCTCTGGATTAGTGGCCATCTCTTAGCTTCCCCTCACCACCGGGTGCTAGTGGCCTGTCTCTATGCCCGCTTCCCCACTCCTGCCAGACAGACCTCCTCGGGGGCTGTGTTCCCCAGGGCTTCAACCCAAGTGCAGCGTGTGTCTGGAGCATGTGCTGCTGGTGTTTGGGGTGGGGAGCAAGTGAGTCACAGGCATTAACAGGGGTAGCTGTCTGGGGCAGCCCCCCAGGGCAGACCGGGCTGGCCTCCACCCCGCACTCTCCTCCACTTTAGAATGTCCTGTGGGTGCTGTCTCAGGATGCTGGGGATGAAAGCCAAGTCACTGCAGAGAAGGGAGGCAGCGGAGACACCAAACTTCCCAGAAAGGCCAAGTTGTTTTGGAAGTCTTAGATTTTACGGAGCCATTCGGAGCACCCATCTGTTCTTGAGGGGGCCCAGTCTGTGAATCTCAGGCCCACGCTTTGTGGATTTCTATTAATTAAAAAAACACATTCTGCTATCGTATTCCTGGCTTACAAGCCAGCAAGTCACACTTTGTCCTCTCTGCCTCCCTGCCATCTTCTCTGTCCTTCGTCTTGCCAGCTCACACTCAGGTCAGGAACACGTGGAAGACATATACTGTGGACTTTCAATTCCCAGGGAGGCTGCTTCCAGTGAAAGCTAGACAGCAGGGACCATGAGCAAGGTTGTGTGAGACGTCTCAGGTTTCTGGGGCCCCTGACTCATTGCAGTTGGAGCTTTTATTATTAGCAGGACTGCTCCCTCCCAAGGCCACCTTGGTAGCATAAATCAAGAGCTTAATGATGCTCAGGTCCTTGATACAGAAAGTTACCCTCTGATGACCTCAGGGGAAGAACAAAAGCTGTGTCAGATAAGGCTTTCTGTCACAGCCCCAATTACAGCAGCAAAATATTAGAATAATCCGAGTATTCAGCATGCCACAGGATGCCATACAGAAACTAACAATAGGGTCTTTCACATTATTTAATGGTATGGAAAAATGCCCATGACACAGTATTAAGGGAGAAAAACAGGATACAAAAGATATATATAGCATATAAATGTTATGTAGAAAAAATATGTGGCTATGTATATTATGTATGTGGGTGCTCAGTTGCTTCAGTCAGATCTGACTCTGAGACCCCATGGACTGTAGCCCCTTCAGGCTCCTCTGTCCATGGGATTCTCTAGGCAAGAATACTGGTGGTGGGTTTCCATGCCCTCCTCCAGGAGATCTTCCCGACCCAGGGATCAAACCTGTGCCTCCTGNTCATGAAATTAGAAGGAATAGGAATTTGGTCCTACATGAATTATCTTAAAGCATGATTTGTGAAAATTGTGGGTACCTCAGTTCAGTTCAGTCGCTCAGTCGTGTCTGACTCTTTGTGACCCCATGGACTGCAGCACGCCAGGCTTCCCTGTCCATCACCAACTCCTGAAGCTTGCTCAAACTCATGTCCATTGAGTCAGTGATGAAAGACTGAAAATATAAGATGACAAATGGGTGAGAATGATGTTTATGCTGACTAATAGTTTTTGGAGTGATTTCTATTACTTTGTTCTATAAAATCTGTGGACTATGAGAAACATGCAAGCAGGAACACAGGAAGGAAAACAGGTACTGTTTGTTGATTAAGGCAAATTACTTGGAAGATAGCCTAAGAATTGCATTCGACTCTGATTCCTCAGCTCCAGGACCAGGAGGCCTCGGCCTCCAAGGAGGACCTCAGACTGCGCGTCAGACAACTCCATCACCAAGTACTGACCCTGCAGTGCCAGCTCCAAGACCAGGGGTCTGCGCACCGCGAGCTGCAGGCCTCTCGTGAGGAAGCAGCGCATCTCAGGGGCAAGGTAGGCTGGGCCCACACTTCCTTTCCCGCCTGTAAACTAACATTCCTTCACTCTGGCAAGATTAGAAAGTAGAAAGAAGAATTAAGAGCTCACTGGCCCTTTCCAGCAGTTTGCAAGCATTATTAGATTTTGAAAGTATAGAGCAGTATAGGGAAGAAAAACAAGCCTTGTAATCCCTCCATCTGTGTAACCTCTGTTAGATCTAAAAATAATAATACACGTGTGCGTGCATGCTAAGTCACTTCAGTCATGTCCGACTCTGCGACCCCATAAACTGTAGCCCACCAGGCTCCTCTGTCCGTGGGATTCTCCAGGCAAGAATACTGGAGTGGGATTCCATGTCCTCCTCCAGGAATGCATATACATGGCTTTCTAATAAGTCAAACAGTTTTTTAAGTGATACATGAATAAAAGTCTTCTCCCTGTAGGAGGGAAGTGGCTGTGAATATAAAAGAGCAACAAGGGCAGTTAGAATGGTTCGGTATTGTGTCTGTGGTGATGGAGACACAACCTTGCGTAGGTGGTAAAATTGTTCAGAACTTGGCACACACACACGTACACATACACTCACACGCACGCACTAGAGAGATCCAAGTAAGAATGGTGGCTTGGGATTAGCAGATGCAAACCATTATATATAGAATGGATAAACAACAAGGTCCTACAGTATAGTGTGTATGTATGCTCAGTCGCTCAGTCGTGTCTGACTTTCTGCAACCCCATGGACCGTAGTACACCAGGCTCTTCTGTCCTTGGAATTTTCCAGGCAAGAATGCTGGAGTGGGTTGCCATTTCCTCCTCCTCCAGGGGATCTACCTGACCCAGGGATCAAACCCGTGTCTCCTGCATTGCAGGCGGATTCTTTACCACTGAGCCGCTTGGGAAGCCCCATACTGTACAAGGAACTATTTTCAATATCCTGTGATAAATCACGATGGAAAAGAATATGAAAAAGAACATATCTATAGGTATAACAGTCACTTTGCTGTACAACAGAAACCCAAAATTGTAAATCAACTATGCTTCAATAAAGTAAATTAAAAAAAAGAATGGTACATTGTATCCACATCAATACCTGGATGTAATATACTGTAGTTTTACAGAATGTTCCCTTTAAAGGAAACCAGGAAAAATATGCAAGAGATCTCTCGGTATTATTTCTTTTTTAACTGTACATAACAGAGGCCAACACAATATTGTAAAACAATTATCCTCCCAGTAAGAAAAAGAAAAGAAAAACAACTGTTTATAAACCTAAAATTATCTCAGTATTTAAAAAATGCAGAGCAGTATGATCTTTTCTCCCCCTCAACCCCAACCCCTTTTGACTTCCATTTTTTCAACCCTATGCACCCACGTTTCAGTACTTATTTGTATGCCTCAGTTCAGTTCAGTTCAGTTCAGTTGCTCAGTCGTGTCTGACTCTTTGCGATCCCATGAACTGCAGCACACCGGGCCTCCCTGTCTGTCACCAACTCCCAGAGTTTACTCAAACTCATGTCCATCAAGTCAGTGATGCCATCCAACCATCCTATCCTCTGTTATCCCCTTCTCCTCCCACATTCAATCTTTCCTAGCATCAGGTTCTTTTCCAGTGAGTCGGTTCTTCACATCAGGTGGCCAAAGTATTGTAGTTTCAGCTTCAACATCAGTCCTTCCAATGAATATTCAGGGTTGATTTCCTTTAAGATGGACTAGTTGGATCTCCTTGCAGTCCAAGGGACTCTCAAGAGTCTTTTCCAACACCACAGTTCAAAAGCATTAATGTTTCAGCACTCAGCTTTCTTTGTAGTCCAACTCTCACATCGATCCCTGACTACTGGAAAAACCATAGCTTTGACTAGACAGACCTTTGTTGGCAAAGTAATGTCTCTGCTTTTTAATATGCTGTCTANTTCCAGTCCTGTGGCCACTGCTGAGTTTTCATGTACTGAAGTCATACCATACAGAAATATTCTGCATCTTGATATTATCATTTAATGAAAAATCTTGGTGATATTTTCAAATCAATACATGCAAAGTGAACTACAGTATTTTAAACTCTTGCATATTATTTTTCCAGAGGCCAAACCATAACTTCCTTAACTGAATCTTTAAGGAAATCTTCTAAATTGTTTCTGTTACTTTGTTCTACAAGAAAACATTTTTATGCATCTATTTTGGAGTATGTTTCTGCAACATGCAAAGGCTAAAATCTTAGTGAAGAATTACTGTGTCAAAGGCTATATTGAGTTCGATCGATAATGGCAAATAGCCCTCCAAAATGTTTATGTCATTTATACGCCCACCAGAAATGAGTGCACTTGTTTGCCCACACCTGGTTACCCTGAATCATATCACGCTTTACATTTTTTTTTACAAACTAATGAATGAAAATATACTATCAGCATTTTAATGTGATTTCTGATTTCTTTTAACGCATTCTTTGTATAATCGAATACCCTATACGTGGAGTTTTATGTCCTCTATCCACATTGCTTCATAGCCTTTTTGTCCGTTACTTTTAGGACTGTGCAGTAATCTATGGGGTGTTTGTGATTTCTGTTCCCCTCCTGTTGGGGGCTTCCCTGGTGGCTCAGAAGGTGAAGCACCTGCCAGCAGCGCGGGAGGCCCGGGTTCGATTCCTGGGTCAGGAAGATCCCCTGGAGAAGGAGATGGCAACCCAGGAAAACCCCATGGATGGAGAAGCCTGGTAGGCTACAGTCCATGGGGTCGCAAAGAGGCGGGCACAGCTGAGCCACTTCACTTTCACTCTCACTGTTGGGTCTACAGTTATTTCCATTAACTTATATATCATTTTTTATGGGGCCCAAGCTCCTTCCCTGATCAGGGAACTAAGATCCTTCAAGCAGGTGTAATGTTCAAAGAAACAAAGTAGGGAGTGGGGGAGTTTCTTGCATATTTAAGTGTGTTTATAAGGAAAATGGGGCTTCCCAGGTGGCGCCAGTGCAGGAGACCTAAGAGACATGGGTTTGATCCCTGGGTTGGGAAGATTCCTGGAGAGGGGCATGGCAGCCCACTCCAGTATTCTTGCCTGGAGAATCCCATGGACAGAGGAGCCTGGTGGGTTAAGGTCCATTGGGTTGCAGAGAGTCAGACACAACTAAAGTGACTCAGCACATACATCATTTTTATTTACAGTAGTTCAGAGAATTGGGATTACTGGTTCAAAGAGAAGAAATAGTGCTCATCCTAAACACATATTGCAAATTTGCTTTCCAAAAAATGCTGGCACCCACTTCCAAAGTCAAAGCCATTCATGGGGGAATATTTTTCATTGTACCCTCAACCAATGTGGGAGGTAAGATGGCATTTTTGTCCTGTCTGACACTGATGTGTGAAAAATACAGCTCCAATTATACACATGTTAGAACCTTTTTTTTTTTTTTACCATATCCAATATGTGTTTAAGTCTTTTTTTTTTAATTACTTTCATTCTTGTTGTCTTACTCTGCTTCAGATATCAGATATTTCACGTATCTTCACATATCAGATATGGATATTTCTTTCTAATCCATCTTTCAGTTACATAATACTCTTTAGGTGATCAAATTTGCTCTTAAACTCATTATTTTAGTTCTTCATTTCAGGTATTGTATTTTGGAGTCTTAGAATTTCCATTTGGTTAGTTTTGGATAGCTTCCAGTTCTCTGATGAAAGTCTTGTAATATAATTATTAAACATTTTAATCACAGTTACTGTCAGATCTGTCTCTGATAGCTTCATTTTACCTTCCCACTAGTGATGGATGAAGGTCCCAACTTCTCCACATTCTCACCAACATTTGCTACTGTCTGTCTTTTTGTTGCTAATCATCCTAGTGGGTGTGAAGTGCTATGTCATTGTGGTTTTGACTTGCATTTCCTTAATGGCTAATAATGTTGAGCATCTTTTCATGTATTCATGTGCAATTCATATGTCTTCTTTGGAGAAATCTTGTAATTGGATAGTTTCTTTTGTTGTTGTTGAGTTGCATGAGTTTGTATATATTATAGATACAAGTCCCTTATTAGCTAAAGGATGTGCATTTTCTCCCATTCTGTTGTCTTTTCACTTCTTGTTTGTTTTTTAATTGCAAATGACCCAGTATACACATTAGTCGCTCAGTTGTGTCCGACACTTTGCGGCCCCATGGACTGTAGCCCACTAGGCTGCTCTGTCCATGAAATTCTTCAGGCAAGAATACTGGAATGGGTTGCCATTCCCCTCTCCATGGGAAGAGTATTGTGGTTTTGACTTGCATTTCCTTAATGGCTAATAATGTTGAGCATCTTTTCATGTATTCATGTGCAATTCATATGTCTTCTTTGGAGAAATCTTGTAATTGGATAGTTTCTTTTGTTGTTGTTGAGTTGCGTGAGTTTGTATATATTATAGATACAAGTCCCTTATTAGCTAAAGGATGTGCATTTTCTCCCATTCTGTTGTCTTTTCACTTCTCGTTTGTTTTTTAATTGCAAATGACCCAGTATACACGTTAGTCGCTCAGTTGTGTCCGACACTTTGCGGCCCCATGGACTGTAGCCCACTAGGCTGCTCTGTCCATGAAATTCTTCAGGCAAGAATACTGGAATGGGTTGCCATTCCCCTCTCCATGGGAAGAGAAGTGAATGTATATAGCTCACAGCAATATATTCATGCTATTTCTTACACTGAATTAGAGAGAAGATGTCATCCAAGCCTGCAAATATTATGGTGTGCATTTTGAATAGAAGACAGTCTGCTTGGAGCTGGCATTTTAATATTCAAATATATTCAGAGAATTGTGCCAAAATAGATATATGGAAGTGTTCATTAAAGTTTTATTTTTAAAGCAAAGAAATAGAAACAATATAAATTTTCATAAACAAAGAATTTGTTAAATAAATTTTGTTCCAATCTCATGATTAAATAATATGCAAGATTTTTAAAACATATGATTGGCTTGTATGTATTAAAGTGGAATCAACACCCATAATTTTATATTAAATGACAACAGCAAGCTGTAAGAACAAGATGTAAAGCATTTTGTATAGTATAGTTTCATCTGTGTGTATACACACAGATGGTTTCTGATTATGGGTATGCAGGGTTGAAAATAGTATTAGAGGTGAGGAGAGCTTGGGGGAGAGGAAGAAGGACTTTTATCTATCTAGCTTTCTTGTAGTGATTACAGAGAAAATCAGAGAGTGAGTGAGAATTCCCAGAACACCCATCTTGTTGTAGCTTATGATTTTGTGGGTCAGGAATTTCAGGCAGGACTTGGCTGCACAATTCTACTCTGCAGAGCATCAGTGAGGATCACTCAGTGGCATTCACCTGGGCACTGGGCTCGGCTGGAAGGTCCCAGGTGGCTTCATACATGGGCCTGGTGCAGAGAATAATAATGGTTTATATTCATTGAATGTTGGCCAGATGCCAGGCCTTGCTCTAAGCACTTTACAGGAATCGATTCAGAGTCCTCATCCAATCTTCCCCATTAGGTGGACAGTAATATTACCCCTGGGCCTCCCAGGTGGCACAGTAGTAGAGAATCTACCTGTCATATAGGAGACACTGGTTTGATCCCTCTTTCAGGAAGATGCCCTAAGGAAGAAAATGGCAACCCACTCCAGTACTCTTGCCTGGGAAATCCCATGGACAAGAGGAGCCTAGCAAGCTACAGTCCATGGGGTCGCAAAGAGTGGGACACTCTTTAGTGACTAAACAACAACAACAACATTACACCTACTTTACAGATGAGAAAACTGAGGCACAGAAAGACTTGGCTTTCTCAGAGTCACAGGTCTAATGAGTGGCTAAGCTGAGGTTAGGACTCAGGGCATCTGTCTAGGAAACCTATAGGTTTAACACCGAACCAAAACACTCTGGCAACCTCTGCATGGGGAATGGGGAAATCATTCTTTCTGGTTGCATGCTTGCATGCTCAGTCATGTCAGACTCTTCAACCCCATGAACTGTAGCATGCCAGGCTCCTCTGTCTGTGAGATTTTCCAGGCAAGAATAATGGATTGGGGTTGCTATTTCCTTTCCCGGGGGATCTTCCTGACCTAGTGAAAGAACCCGTGTCTCCTGCGGCTCCTGCGTTGGCAGGCCGTTTCTTTACTACTGAGCTACCTGGGAAGCCCTGCTTCCTGAAGGAAGAGGCAATAGCATGGCTTCGGCATCTGCGGTCTGGCAGAGCTCATTCTCTGGTGCTCAGAGCATCCTTCCTCCTCTGATCTAGTCGAGCAGCTGATGGGAAAGGCCTGTGTTCTCACCACCAATTCCTGTGGGAAAAGAGATGAGAGCCAAGCTCTGTGAGCGCGGCTTGCCTATACATGCTGCAAGCTGTGGAACCCACCACTCAGTGTTATCAAAAATCTTGGTTCTCTTTCAGCTTGACGAACTTCAGAAGAAGCACCATGAAGCGAATTTGGCTGTGACGCCTTTGAAGGTAATACGTGCATGAAATACCTCTTTCAAAAGAAAAAAAGGGAACTTAGTACTGGATTGGCCAAAAAGTTTGTTTGGATTTTCCTGTAAGATGGTATGGAACAATCCAAGCAAATTTTTTGGCCAACCCGATATTTTTCCCATTAGGAACTAGTCCATGTCTGTTGTATAGAAACACTGGAAACACAGCCCCCGAGGTTCCCTTCTGAATCTAGCGTCTTCATATATTTTCTTTTAGTATATTTCACATGTGTCTGAGACCCTCCTCTACCTGTGTAGAGGTATGTCTGTGCCCTGCCTTTCCCACGTGGGACTTCACCAGCCTTTGAAGCTGCTGTTCTTGCCAGATCTGAAGCAGGAGACTTCAGTTCATAAAGCCTCCAGACCCTGCGGGTGTTCAAATCCCTCTGTCCAATCTCTTTGCCTCTCTCGTTCCCTCCCTGTCTCTTTTGCATTATTACACATAAGCACCATGCTGCACTTTTTTTTTCTTAGAAAAGTTTTCTCTGTGCATCTAGACATTTTTTGAGGACAGATTCCGAGATAAGGCATTATTGGTTCATAGGGTTTAATACACTCCTCAAAGATGTAGTTTGGGTGAGATGACACATGTGAGCTCACACTTGGCATTTGGACTTGGGCAGTGCCAAGCGCCTGGAGGGACTGTCCATTTTTCCCACTCTCTGGGCAAGGTGGCCTGTGAGGGGCCCTAGGCTGGGAATTAGAAGGTCATAGTTGAGCCCCAGGACCCTACTGACTTTGCCGAATCCCACCCCCTCTGAAATAATAGTGATTCCCTCTGGCTTGCTCTCACAGCTTCTTCTGACCCTCAATGGATATGGCGTTGATGGACAAGTAGAGCGCAAACTGTAATGCTTTTGAAAATGGGAGGTCTTGCTCCTCTGTTATTTTCATCATTTGCTATGTACTGGCAGTACTGGGCACTGGGGCATCACTGCCTAGAAACTGATGTGCAAAGATCCCTGACCCTCTCTGGGCTGGGCTTGGAAGGGAGTTCTGGCAGGAAGGGGTCATCACATCCTCCAATGGAGCAGCTCCTCCAAACATGCACAGATGCGGGAGATCATTTCATGGCCAGAGGGTCACACACTCACATCATCCACATAACAGATCTCTCCTGTGCCCAGTCATGGAACGAGGACAGTGCAGGGAATCCAGGAGAGTGTCAGCCTTGCCCTTAGGAGCCCCCAGGCTATGGAGGAGACAGAACCACAAATGTAAAGATTTACTCCTGGGACAGCAGGAAGTCAGAAGCCTGGGCACAGAGGGACCCAAGTCCTGAGCCTGAGGGGGGCCTACCTACCTGGGAAGGCACTGCCCAGGCTGGCCTCTGAACAGATCTGCACACAGTTTTCCTGGGCTGAGGACATGCAGGAGCCACAGAGGAGTAGTGAGGAAGTTCTGGGGTGTTGGGGGTGGGCAGTGGATCAGTCTGTCTGGAACACGAGGCATGAGAAAGAGGGTCATCGTTGTGATGGGGCTGGAGAGGCACGGTCCGACCTTTCATGCGTGAGCACCTGCCTGGGCCGGTCGACGTGCGTGCTTTGTCTGCGTTGTCTCCTTCTGTCTTGGTGTGGTGACAATGCCCGTTGTACAGATGAGCACGTCATGGAGTAGAGAGGAGCTAGGTCTCATAGCTGGTTGGTGGAGGGGCTGAAGACCCGTCCAGAAGGCATCCAGAACGGGGTGGGCAGCAGTGTGGCCCCTTGTTTTCAAAGCTGTCTCTGGCTTCTAGGTGAAAGGAGGGATGGCAGGGAGGAGGCTGAGCTAAGACAGGGCTGTGTGTGTGTGTGTGTGTGTTAGCTGTGCAGGCGTGTCCTACTTTTTGCAACCCCGTGGAGGAGCCCGCCAGGCTCCCCCGTCTGTGGGATTCTCCCAGCAAGAATCCTGGAGTGGGTTGCCATTCCCTTCTCCAGGGGATCTTCCTAACCCAGGGATTGAACCTGGGTCTTCCCCATTGCAGGCAGACTACCAGCTGAGCCACCCGGGGTCCCAAGGCGGGGCTGAAGGAAGCAAAACCTGGAGCCAGGGCCCCGCCCCTCCCGCTCGGCCGCCCCGCCCCCACAGGAGCCCGGTGTCCATGCACCCACCAGCTGTGTCTTCACTCCCACTCCCCCAGGCCAAGCTGGCTTCCCTGGTTCAGAAGTGCCGGGAGAGGAACCACCTGATCACACACCTGCTTCAGGAGCTGCGCAGACACGGGGCGGAGAACCACCTGCTCTCCGGGATGGCGGACAACATGGTGAACGACGTAGCACTGGCCGAGTACGCGGCCACCTTCCTGGCTCCGAGGGTCCCAGAGGTAGGGTCCCGCAGACCGCCCTGCCTCTCTTCCTGTAGGGGCTGTGGGCTCATCCATCCGCCTGTCCACCTCCTGACCTGCCCTGTCATCCACCTGCCCCGACCTCCCTCCTTCTGTCTGCTGACCTTGCCTGGAATACGGCTCCTCCGTACCAGCGCCTCTGCTCAGGGCTGGCATAGGGAGGTGATCCAGTCATCCTTAACCTTAGAAAGTGTTCATGACATGGTGCGGGAGACAGACACAGAAACCGTGACTTTGATTCAGTGGCATAGAAGTTCTGCCTCATCAGACATTTCTTTCGTGGGTGCCCCAGGACCTTAGCACTTGCCACTTACTCTGGCAGGATTCCCATCCACCCTGCAGCCTCCCATCTGTCCTTCAGCGCCCAGTTCAGGGGTGGCCTTGCTCAGGAGCCAGCCCTGGATCCTACATGGCATGTGGGCACGACCGACGCGGCAAGTTAGAGGCGTTTCCCCTACTGTTAGAGGGGTTTTGTCAGCCTCTCCGTTGGGGCCAGAGCCGCTCCTTAACCATTTCTGTCTCTCTAGTGCCAGGCACAGAAAAGCTGCTCAGGGAATGGTTGTTGAATGAAGTCATGAACTAAATGAATGAGAATCTCCTCTTTTAATGGTCCATGGGAGAGGAGACTGAGGCTCAGAGAGGTTGGGAGACTCACTCAAAGTCACACAGCTCCCAGGGAGATGGTGATGGAGGCCAGTTCTGACCCAGGTCTAGCAAAGATGTTCCCAGGTTTCTGCTTGGCTCTGAGCAGCAGTACCTGGGTGCCCATGGGTGCTCAGCTGAGTCTGCCCATGGACACATACACTCACACTCAAGCACACACATACACACACTCCTCAGGTACACAACCCCATTCCTGGGGACCAGCCAGCAGCACCCCCACCAAACTAGCTCAGTTCCTGCTTGTGCAAAGGAGAAATGCAGCTGCTGCTATGGATATGGCCGGCCCTGTTCTCCACGATGCCCCCTGGGGCTCTGCAGTCAGAGGGGCCTGCTTTTGGTAGCGTAGCCCCACGTCTGCATCTCCCCCCTTGGCCTTCCCAGCCCAGCCTCTGCAGGACAACCCTCTCTGTCCCTTCCTTCCCCTACAGCCTTTAGGGTTTCAAGTGTCCTCTAATCCAGATTCCACAGAGCCCAGGTGAACACCAGGAGGCCAAGGGGCCTGCTCAGGGCCACAGCAACTTGGTTCAGAGTCAGAATTTGAACCTAGAGCCCTGACTCCCAGGCCAGCACTCATCCCTCTGCCTGAGGCTTTCAAGCTTCTTCAGAGGCAGAATAGGGGTGGAGAGAGAGGTCGGCATCTTGTTCAGGGGCCTGGCACAGTCCCCATGTCTCAGTTAAGGCAGGACTGAAAGCAGAGTTCCAGGAAGGATGTTGGATGTGTCAAGGGTCACCTGGGAAGGAAGCTGGCTGTGGGCTGAGAAGGCCTCATCGCAGTGAACCCTCCCACCTGCCCAGGGGCTGTTCTGTCTGGCAGGCTCTGAAACTAGACCCAATTTGTTCACTGGGATTGGACAGGCTGACTTACATTGATCAAATTCACAGAGTCTGAGGTATAAACCCGAACACTAGCAATCATTTCTCATGCGAGATCAAGCTATGCACAGGCTGAAATATTGGATGGATGAAAAAATAATCAGCTTATTCTCTCCCTATAGTGGAGTTATCTGGAAAGTCCAGTTCATGGTTCATTGGTTCGTTTGTAAGTCAATCAACATTTGTAGTCAGAAGGTCATTTGGGAGCCTGGGATGAAAACAGAGAGGGTTAGTGGTGTCATCAGCCTGGCAGGTTCATTTCCTGGAAGGATGTGCTTCTGGGCCCGGTCAGGCCTCCCTAGGGGCCAGGGTGTCTCCCCTGTGGATATTCTGAAAGGCCATGGCCAATCATAAGCTTACACTCCCTCCTTTTCAGCTGACTTTGAATCTGCCCTGACCCATTTTGCATTATTTTACAGTTCAGCTCACCAAGTTCAGTTCAGTTCAGTCGCTCAGTCATGTCTGACTCTTTGCGACCCCATGGACTGCAGCACACCAGGCCTCGCTGTCCATTACCATCAGGTTCATTTCCTGGAAGGATGTGCTTCTGGGCCCGGTCAGGCCTCCCTAGGGGCCAGGGTGTCTCCCCTGTGGATATTCTGAAAGGCCATGGCCAATCATAAGCTTACACTCCCTCCTTTTCAGGTGACTTTGAATCTGCCTTGACCCATTTTGCATTATTTTACAGTTCAGCTCACCAAGTTCAGTTCAGTTCAGTCGCTCAGTCATGTCTGACTCTTTGCGACCCCATGGACTGCAGCACACCAGGCCTCGCTGTCCATTACCAACTCCCAGAGTTTACTCAAACTCATGCCCATTAAGTTGGTGATGGCATCCAACCGTCTCATCCTCTGTCGTCCCCTTCTCCTCCCACCTTCAATCTTTCCTAGCATCAGGGTCTTTTCCAATGAATCGGTTCTTCACATCAGGTGGCCAAAGTATTGGCGTTTCAGCTTCAGCATCAGTCCTTCCAATGAATACTCAGGACTGATTTCCTTTAGGATGGACTGGTTGGATCTCCTTGAAGTCTAAGAGACTCTCAAGAATATTCTCCAACACCATAGTTCAAAAACATCAGTTCTTCAGTGCTCAGCTTTCTTTATAGTCCAACTCTCACATCAATACATGACTACATCAATACAATACACATCAATACATGAAAAAACCATAGCTTTGACTAGACAGACCTTTGTTGGCAAAGTAATGTCTCTGCTTTTTAATATGCTGTCCTGGTTGGTCATGGCTTTTCTTTCAAGGAGCAAGCGTCTTTTAATTTCATGGCTGCAGCTCACCAAGAACACCCCCATTTTCTTGATCTGAGGAATGTCTTACTGTCCCCTTCACAAACCACAAAAGCCTGGCTCTTCCATTTCATTTCATAGATATTTATTGAGCACCTATTGTCATGAGCCAAGCATGGTGCTGGGGGCTGGGGAGAAATGATGAATCAGACAGGCCAAAATGTGCACATAGACAAGGAGAGAAGTAATTATAAATTACAGTGAGTGTCAAAAAGGAAAAGATGGAGACTATGTGTGTGCCTTAATTGCTCTGAGCCTTGCTTTGCTCATCTGTAAAATGGGACCATTACATCCTGCTTGGCAGAAGGAACATGAAGACGGTTGGAGATAACTCATGAAACACCTTGTGCAGGGCTGTCCCGCAGGTAGGAACCTGGTCGTCATGTGAGCAGTCGTCAGAGGGGTGGGCTCTGGCATCCAGGAGCTCTGGGTTCAGATTTTAGCTCTGCCTCTGTCTTACTCTGTGGCCTTAGGCGGGAACAGTGACATGTGTCACCAGGGGAGCTTTATGTAACTGACTTAAGGGGTCCTCCTGTGTGGGAGATGCTATTATTATCACCCCCCCCTTTCCAGATGGGAAAACTGAGGCTCAAGGAGGTTACAAGTCATGCCCAAAGATACATGTCTACAAGCAGCTGTCTAGCTCAGCCTTCTGTGTGTTCAGTTGTTTGCATAAGCAGAGCTGGGATTTGAACCTGGCTGTGGATTTCTGTGCAGGGCCACTGCAGGACGGAGAGGCGGTGTGTGTTGGGTGCAGTGCGGGTCTGTGGGGCATGTGGGCAGCAGCAGGGGTCTGGCACGTACAGACCAGGCCCTCAGTGATCCATCCCTGTTGTCCCTGGAAGGTCAATCCTCGGTGTGCAGATACTAATATGTGACCCCAGGGACTAGCCCACCGGGCCCGTCTATACATGGTATTTCCCAGGCAAGATACTAGAGTGGGTAGCCATTCCTTTCTCCATGGGATTTTCCTGATCCAGGGTTCGAACTTGGGTCTTCTGCACTGCCAGCAGATTCTTTACCATCCGAGCCGCCAGGGAAGCCCTATATTAATATAAGGCAGTGAAAAATAAATGTGATATATTTAAGAAGCAAAAAGGGCTCCAGGCTGGCTGGAGTGAGGGGGCTCCCGAGTGGACAAGTTCTGAGAGGCTGGACAGGAGGTCACGGGCACCTGACTGGCCACAGGGGTGTTTGCGCCTGGTTCTTCAGTGAATGGGGAGCTGCCAGAGAGGTGGAGCAGTAATTGCCGTGCTTCGGGAAGATGATCCCAGCAGGCCTGTGGGCCGGACTGTGCCGCAGAGTCCCAGGCAGGCGATACACATGGCAGCCAGATGGCTCGGGCCGTAAACACCCAAGGCCCAGGCGGCCGAGCAGAGCCCTGGGGGCACGGAGACCCTTCGTGGTGGTGGTGGCGGCTCCTCCCGCTGGCAGCTGGGCAGGAAGTGGGTTTTACTGGTGCTGATTTTCGTTTCAGAGAACACAGATGGAATTCCCGGTGGGGACATTGGGCTTGGGCTCAGAGCCCAGGAGGGCTGCCAACTGGCTGGGGGACACTTAACGGACTTGGGGGGGGGGCACGTGCCAGAGCCGAGAGGGCGGGTCCTGGGAGCCCTGTGCTCGGGAGGGGACTCCCATTAACCAGAGACTCCTGAGGGAGAGCGGGGTGTGGGCTATGAGGGGGATGTCCCATATGGACAGGCTGCTGTTCATTTATTCCCGGGAGGCGGTGATGATGGGAGACTCACAGAGCCTGCCCTGAGCCAGCACTTTCTGTGGTTCACTCACTTCACCCTCCCAACATCCTGCCTTGTCAAGGAGGAGACTGAGCCCCAGCGTCAGAGCTGGCCAAGGTCACACCCGGGGGTGGCAGGCTGGGGTTCAGAGCTGGGGTCCACCCGAGCTCCACCCTTTCAGGAAGAGGGTGCTCCCGCCTCCGCCACAGCAGTGGCTCAGGGTCAGTGACCGCCTCCCATCAGCTTCCTTTTCTTGCCCTAGTTGAGTGGGTGATAGAAATTGAGCCTCAAGGGCTCAGGCCCTGGGCCTCTTTCTTGCGGCTACATCTAAAGTGCCTTAGTTTGTTGGGCTCACTTAACAAAAATACCACAAACCGGGTGGCTTAAACAGCAAGCATCTTATTTCTCACAGTCCTGGAGACTGGAAGCTGGGGATCAGCCATGTGGTGGGGTTCTGGTGGGGGCTCTCTTCCTGGGGTGCAGACGGCTGCCTTCTCACTGTGTCCTTGCATGGTGGACAGAGAAGCTGGCTCTCTTGTGCCTCTTCTATCAAGGACACAGGTTCCAGCCAGAGGACCCTGTCCTCATGATCTGGTCACCTCTGATCTGATCACCAATCCCCAAATACCCTCACATGGGGGTTAGGATTTCAGCATGTGAGTTTTTTGGGGGACACAGACATTCAGTGCGTGGGTCAGATGGGGGCTGTGGGCCCCTAGAGTTGCCATCTTCCTGACCTGTGTTGTTGTCCATGGCTGCCACTATCTACAGGTCAGCCTGCATCCAACCTAGTGTTCTTCCTCCAGCTCTGTAGGTCCTCTTGAGCATTGGTCCTGAAGCAGGGAATCCCATGAGGCCAGCTTGGCCGGGTCCCCCGCTGTCTTTCAGCTGGGAACATGGGGTCTTGGCACCTCCCTGGCTTCAGCTGAGATGGGAGCAGGAGGAGGGCAGGTTCCTTCTGTTCCTGGACTCCCAAATGGACATGGGGGTTCTCAGTCCCACCCCATCCCCAAACTGACTTGACTGGGCTGGGCTCTGGGCACCTTCTCGGGGCCCCCTTAACCTCCTCCCTGACCCCCAGCCCCAGGACATCTCTTTTGTTCTGGATTTCACCAGGACCTAGGCTGTTGACATTCTCAAGCCAAGAAGGAGACACCATTTTTGTTCCTTGCACTCGGGTGTCATCCGCTTTTGGAGGCAGATGCCTGGGTGCCAAGGGGAGGTGGAGGAAGGGTGCCCTCTGGCCCATGCCTAGCCTCCTGCGGGCTCCATTGAGGGGGCAGTCAGCTCAGCAAACAGAAGATCCATTGGAGCACTGGATGTCTTAGCCCTGCCTGGCTCCCTGCTGTTCCTGGGACGTGAGGTTCCCTGCCCTCTCCATGGGCATGGAGTTTCCTTTGGCAGATAAAGACACCCAGACCCTGAAGAATAGCCACCCTGTGGCCCAGTGCTCACCCGTCACCTCCTGAAGTCACCTGCTCTTTTAGGCCTGGATAGCACAGGGTGGGGGTTGCTGACCTCTTGGAGGGCTCTGTGAGACCCCCCCTCAAATGCCCATCATGTTGCCATCACATAAAGATATTCACAGAGGGTATAGGGCCCCTTCAAGCAGAAATTGCTCCACTGGGGGAGATCAGGGGCTTGGTGTACTAACACCAGAGGGTCATTGAGACCAGCCTTAAAAAGACACATGCAACCAGACGAGGAAGCTGCTAATTCCACTTCCTCTTGCCCTGCTTTTTCCTCCTTTCTCCACATCCTGGAAACATCTTGCTGTCCTCCGGGCACTGGTCAACAAGATCTATATATAAGCCTTTGGAAATGGAATCTCATCTTGAAAGAAACAGTGAGACTGAGAGCCCTAAACTCCCTTAATTCATTAAATCAATGACCCCAAGCCTGGGCCTCCAAGGATCCAGGCAATTAGTTTCTCTTCATCTGCTGCCTTTTATGGAGAATATCCCCCCCAAAAATTTACCTGGGGAGAGAGGCAGGGGAGTGGAGTGTGTAGGGTGAGGCTTTATCCACCTATTACTCTGCGTGGAGCATTTAGTAGATGTTTACTCTTACTTGGTTCTGACAAAACCCTGCAAGGAGCATATTCATGGCTCCACTTTGCAGATGGAGAGGGCAAGACTCAGAGAATTCAACTGACTTGGCCAGGACCATGGAACCAGTAAGCGGCAGAGCCAGGTTCAACCTGAGGTTGCCTGGCTGCATGCCTCTCCAGGCTGATGGGATAAATGAGAAGCAGGAGGAAGATCTGTAGATCTCTGATCACTTACTGAATGCAGTGCCTCTGGAAGTAGTTTAGTGCCTATGAGGCTACTGTGTGGATACAAAGGTCAAGGAAACCTGAAGACGTCTGTGTCTAATAAAATTAACTCCAAACCCAGGTGCAAGCAAATGCATTCAGTTGAAGCATAGCAGTGAGCAGAGAGGAGAGTGATTTGGGAATATAATTCCTGCAGGAGGAAGCACACAAAACTAGGCTTTTAAGGATTTAGATGGATGTGTGAAGGCCCTCTAGGCTGGGAGAATGGCATGTACAAAGGCACTGGGGTGTGAAGGGTCATGGTCCTCGAAGACACAGAGTTTTAGGAGATGTAAATGGAGTGTTCTGAGGGCAGGAAATGCAGTGAGAGAATGTACTGTACCTGGTACAGAGGGCTCCCAATAAGTGGTGGTGTGATTGGTTTGGATCAGAACATGGTAGAGCCATTATCCATGCCCCTGTATCTTTGTCTGTGGATTAGTCAATCCATTTAGAGGAACAGTCAAAGAGCCCAGGTGTCCCAGTGCAGCGTAGAGGGGCTATGTGATAGGCAGGTGGCTGAACTCAGCCAAGTGGATTCAGGGAAGATTTCATAGAGGTAGGGACATTTGGATTAGGTGTTGATGTATGCATAGAAATTCACCGGAGAATGAGTGAGCAGGACCCTCCAGGCAGGAAGGTGGCTGGTGCAAACCCTCGGAGGACACAATGGAGATGAGAGAAGGGCGCTATCACAGCTACACTGTACTCGGGGCCCCTTCCCCGCTGGAAAACCCAAGAGGAAGCAAGATCTGGGCTGCTGGTCTAGAATCAACTCTAATCTGCCTTGAAGATCCAGCTGTTGCTTTTGTTGGATCCACTGGGAGCCACCAGGCCGACCAGCTGAGTTCCTATTGTCACTTCAGCTCTTCCAGAGCCTGTGCACTTGTGGGGAAGAGAAGGACAGTTGGTCCATGGAGTGGTTCAGGGACTTGGGTCCAGCCTGACCTGGATTCTTTGGTGCTGAGTCAGGGGTCGCAGGAACAGCTTAGTGATCGGCTCTCACAAGGGGTCGGAAGGACCTTCATGCGGAGAGAGTATTTCTCCTGTAGACTCTGTTGTGTGGCTGCCCTCCTTCCCGCCCCCCAACACACACCTTTTTTGGTGTTGTTCAGTTGCCAAGTCATGTCCAACTCTTTGCCACCCCATGGACTGCAGCACGCCAGGCCTCCCTGTCCCTCATCATCTCCCGGACTTTGCCCAAGTTCGTGTCCATTGCAATGGGGATGCCATCCAATCAGGTCATTCTCTGTTTCCCTCTTCTCCTTCTGCCTTCCATCTTTCCCAGCATTAGGGTCTTTTTCAGTTAGTCAGCTCTTCTCATCAAATGGCCAAGGTATTGCAGCTTAAGCTTCAGCATCAGTCCTTCCAATGAATATTCAGGGTTGATTTCCTTTAGGATTGACTGGTTTGATCTCCTTGCAGTTCAAGGGACTCTCAAGAGTCGTCTCCAACACCACAGTTCAAAAGCATCAATTATTTGGCGTTCAGCCTTCTTAATGGTCCAACTCTCATATCTGAAAAGACCATAGACCTTTGACTATACAGACCTGTGTCAACAAAGTGATATATTTGCTTTTTAACACATTGTCTATGTTTGTAACAGATTTTAAAACCTATTCATCAGTCTCCACTTGGAGGTTCGATTTGAATAAAGGAAATGGAAGCTTTTCCTTACACCTGTATCTTTGGGAGCAAATCTGTGACTCCCGAGGGTCGTGGGCGAAAGAGGGAGGCAGCCCTGGCTGCATATGTGCACACACAGGGAAGAGTGATCCGGCCACAGGATGCACTTTCTGCAGGGGCCAGGGGCTGCTCTTTCCAGTAGTAGACAAGTGTGGAAGGCTTTTCCTCCCATGTCATGCAGAGTAACCGCTGGGATGTCTTTTCTTCCAGACAAGCCACCACCTGGACGTCGAATCTGAGATGACGGCAGTTGTCAGAGGTCAGTGTGATTTTCAGTTAGGAAGAGTCTGCATACTCAGACCAGTCCAGGCCAGCAAAACAATCTGACAGGTGGGCCAGGATGGGGAAATGCCCGCAGTCAAGTGCAGATAACTGAAGGAAGCCAGACCCTACTGTCTTGCACTCTCTTTCCTACTTGGCTCGGCCTTTTTGTTTCACGCTTAAGGAGAACATGTTAGAAAAATACTGCCATACCAAAATGGCCAAATTCTGCAGCCCTGTAGTTTCACTCCTGAAAATTTATCCTGAGTAAATAATTCTATGTGTGGAAAAGCTCAGTGGACAGGCACATACATGCCAGGTTATTTATAACAGTGAAAAACTATTCAGGAAAACTCCAGTATTGTTGATCAACTCTTATTTATTAAGTATGAGGGGCTTCCCTGGTGGCTCAGTGGTAAAAGAGTCCACCTGCAATGCAGGAGACCTGGGTTCAATTCCTGGGTCAGGAAGATCCCCTGGAGAAGGGACTGTTAACCCACTCCAGTATTCTTGCCTGGGAAATTCCATGGACAGGGGAGCCTGATGGGCTATAGTCAATGGGGTCAGAAAGAGTCAGACACGACTGAGTGAACATATACACCATTGATATAACTGTACATGAATATCTGTGAATGATTGGCAGCTTAGGCTAGAAGATAAACTAAAATACCAACAATGGTTACTTAGATGGTAACATGGGTGGGATTTTGTTGTTCTATTATTATTATTATTAAAAGGAAAAGAATTTCCCTGAGCCTTGTTTTACCAGTGGAGTAGACTGTCAGCTCTGGGGGAGGGGGGTTCCTAGGGGTGTATTTAGGGTTATTTTGTTTTAAGATGCTCAATATAAAAGTGAAGAAAGTATGGATAAATGAACTGCTCTTGATAATTGCTTGCTTAGAGATTCTTATTACTAGATTCTGTTCTTACCCAGTTGTGTGATCTTGGGTAAGTTAATTAACCTCTCTGACACGGGACCCTTATCTTTAAATGAAGGGTAACGTGATATTTTTCAGATGTGTCAGTGCCTGGTATGTTGCATAGTGCCAACAATAGGAAGAGAGACCTGGCTTCAGTTTTCAGCTGCTCAGGATGGACCCCACCTTCTCTACCTTTAGTTTCCATCCCTGCAGTCTGGGTTGGCATCTGTTTTCACAGTTGGAGGCACATCAATTCTAGCTGGTCCTGCTTCTGCCACTAGTTTGTGCAAGTTTCCTCCTTTATCTGGGCTCATCTTCCTCATCCTTGAAAGGAAGAAGTGTACCAGACTGATGAAGTTACTTACTCACTCAGCATTTCTAAAAGGCTGCCGCGTGCCAGGCCCCTACCAGCGTTGTAGGGCTTACAAAGATGAGCTGGCTTGCAGAGGCGGTGATCCTTGTGCTGAGGAGCTTGAAGCCAGGGAGTGGACAGTGAAGAAGGAGGCAGTTTTCCAGGCTACCTGAAGCCCGCGGCAGTACCATCAGAGGCGTGTGTGGCTGTGGTACTCATGGAGTTCAAAGGCGCCCTTCAAAAGAGGGGCTTTGTCATGGGGTGAAGGATCTGGGAATGAAAGAGAATGAAAAGGCTCAGAGACTTGCTGATTTTTAGAATAGATTTCTGGATTGAGGTTTGACTGGGCATATCCTCTTCTAGTTCAGAAATGCCTCCTGAATCCCCAAATGGACAGTGTCCTGCAGAGACCTTTGCATTCAGAGTCCTGGCCTATTCCTGAGACTGAGTGGCCAGCATGGACAGCTCAACCGGATTCTTTGAAGGTGAGAAGACATCAGTCACTTAATTTTTTTTTTTAAATATTGATTTATTTTTCAGTTCCTTCAGGTGTTAGTTGCAGCATGCAGGATCTTTCATTGCAGCACGCAGTCTTCTATGTAGCTGTGGTAAGCGGACTCCAGAGAGTGCAGGCTCACTGTTTGTGGCACATCATCTTAGTTGCCCAGCATCACGTGGACTTGTAATTTCCCAACCAAGGATCGAACCCATGTCCCCTGCATTGGAAGGCAGATTCTTAACCACTGGACCACCAGGGAAGTCCCAGTCACTTAATTTCTTAAATAAACAGTTTTGTTGAAGACATAACGCACATACAGAAGAGGGTACAACTCAGAAGCGTACAGCTAGATGAATTGCTTTGAAACGATTTATGCTCATAAAGCCATCACCAGATCAAGAACTAGAGAGTGACCACCAGACACCCCCTACCCCCACCCGGGTTTCCCTTATGTGTGTGCTTAGTCGCTCAGTCGTGTCCGACTCTTTACAACCCCATGGACCATGGCCCTCCAGACTCCTCTGTCCATGGGATTCTCCAGGCAGGAATGCCGGAGTGGGTTGCCATGCCCTCCTCCAGGGGATCTTCCCAACCCAGGGATCAAACCCAGGTCCCCCACATTGCCGGCAGATTCTTTCCCATCTGAGCCACCAGGGAAGCCCAAGAACACTGGAGTGAGTAGCCTGTCCCTTCTCCAGGGATCTTCCCGACCCAGGACTCGAACTGAGGCCTCCTGCGTTGCAGGTGGATTCTTTACCAGCTGAGCTACCAGGTTTCCCTTATAGTCTCTTTATTCTCTGTTTTTTAATTTTCTCTTTTGTTCTGTGTTCTGTGTTATTTTTGTGTTCTGTGTCTGGTTATTTTTGTGTGTTCTGTGTCAGCTTATTTTTCATTGAGTGCTAGACATCATGCATGAACAAATGTGAAGGCATATTTTTAGATTCTGTTTGATAGTATCTTCACCCAGACAGGGTTTTTTCCATTCTTCACAGCAGAACTGATTCAGAGGTGAGTTTCATACTTATAAGATTTGTTTGTTTCTTGGCCACTCTTATTCATAGGGCCCAGCCTTTCAGGATTCTAAGCAAAAGCCTGTAATGTTTATCAGTGTCCTTCCCCTAGCCCCTGCCCACCCCATGAGGCTGTCAAAAGCTCTGCTTAGCTTTCTATTAATACTTCTTAGCTGCCACCTTCACACACAGGTTCCCCTTCACTTGGAGGGGAAATACAGCCTTCAAATGCGGGCCAGCTACACTTGGTTTCTCTCCTGTCTTGAATTTTAGTCCCATGAATCCTCACAGTCTTTGGGGCTCTCAGATGCTTTCAAGTAGATCTTTTGTTAATTTTTTTCCAGCTTTCCTAGTTGCATTCACTCAAGGTTTGGTCCAGAATGTCCAAACCAGTCAGAGTCAGGGCTTCCCAGGTGGTGCTAGTAGTAAAGAACCCGTCTGCCAATGCAGGATATGTTAAGAGACCCAGGTTTGATCCCTGGGTTGAGAAGATCCCTGGAGGAGGGTATGGCAACCCACTGCAGTACTCTTGCCTGGAGATTACCATGGACAGAGGAGCCTGGTGGGCTGCAGTCCTTGGGGTCCCAGAGAGTTGGACATGACTGACGCGACTCTGCAGCATGCAGTGAGAGCCAGAGCAGCACTCTGCTTTCCCAGAGAAAGCCCGTTTCACTTATGAGATTTGCAGTCTGATGGCCTGGGTGCAAATCTCAGCTGTAATTCAGCGTGACATTGGGCAGATTACTTACTGTCTGTAAAATGGGGATAATGATGCCTACTGTTGATATGAGGATAAAATCAGATAAGCAAAATTGAATATATGTCTGGAATATAAGAGATGCTCAAGAAAAAAAAATAGCAACCATTACTTAGGAGAAAACTGATCTTATTCTTAGCATTTTATTTCAACCTATGGTTGTTGCTTTTATTCCTGTGGCTTCTCGCCTGCCTTCATGCTTATATTAATTTTTTTAATCTAACAAATGGAGCCAATATTTACCTCTCAGGGACTCTGGGACAGTTCAATGAAATCATGCACATAATGCAATTACTATACTGCCTGACACAGGAGATGTTCAGTAAGTGACAGCTGTTGTTATTGACTGACCTTAAAGTCTTTTTTCTTTTTTTTTTTTACTGATGACTTTCATTTTGAATTACTTGTCTACAGGCTTATTATCTAATAATGAGAATGTCTTTCCAACTCTGATCTTTTTCTAGGAAAATTACACCTGACTTTTGATCGTAGACCTACCTTATCACAAGCAGGTTGACATTTTAGGCAAAGGGAATGATAACTGCAAAGACAGAAGGTTGCGCAATCCTAAAGCCCGGGGAGACTGGCAAGAAATTAAACGAGGCTGAAGCATAAAGGAGAGGGGACTCCAGGAGATCGTAATGATGATGTTGATGAGAACAACCATGAGAAAGAACCCTGGCCCCTATTTCTCTTTTTAACATTTATTTCTTTATTAGTCCTTTATTTTTGGCTGTGCTGGGTCTTTGTGGCTGCACTCGAGCTTTCGCTAGTTGTGGCGAGCGGGAGCTACTCTCTAATTGCGGTGCATCAGCTTCTCATTGCAGAGCATGGGCTCTAGAGCTTCAGGGTTTCAATGTTTGCAGTTGTGGCCCGTGGAGCTCTAAAGCATGGCCTCATAGTTGTGGTTCACACGCTTAGTTGCCCCATGGCATGTGGAATCCTCCCGAACCAGGGATCAAACTCATGTCCCCTGCACTGACAGGCGAATGCTTGACCACTGGAACACCAGGGAAGTCCTGCCTTCATTTCTTGACTGCATACTCTGTGCAGTGCGTCAGCTTATCCAGCACTCACTATAAACCCACAGAATAAATCTCCACATTCGTTCCGCTTCACATATGAGTACAGATCTGTCACAGAGAGGGTAACTAGCCAGGTCACACGGCGGGAGAGCTGGCGTTCCCACCTGGGCAGCCTGGCTCGAGAGCTGGCGCTCTGGTCACCATGCATCCAGATTGTGCTGGGCCTTCAGTGAGGGGGGTGAAAGTTGTCCCTCCTTCCCTCGCTGAGGTTACAGTCTAGAGTTCGATGTGGGAAAACACCATCTAATGTCTGCAGTCAGCGATATTGGGCAGAAACCGATAGCCAAGCTTTTGAGGAAATAGTTGGAGCGTAAGTGGAATGAATGGACCAAGCCAAGTGCACCTTATACTCTTATGGTTCCAGGTGTCTCAAGTGTTCCTCAGCCTTCCTCAGAGTTCTCACCATACCGTAGGAGGCCGCTGGATAAGATCGCCTTTACTGAAATAATCTCAAGGCCACAGGATAGCTTACCGTGAAATGACAGAATGGTTGATGTATATACCTTTGTTCAATACTGTACATAGTACCGAGCCCATAGGAGGCCTTGCTGAGTGGATTTGGAGAAAGAAGGAGGCAGGGGGAGGGGGCTGTTGGGTGATTTCTCTGGAAGGTCATGCTCACACCTCATCCTCATCCCCAGCATTATATTTCGCCCGCAGCGTTGGTTCTGTTCAGCTGTAACAGGCATTGAGCAGAGCTCTCTGCCCTGCAGAAAAACAGATTGCCAGCCGTTTCTCTGGGCTGGCTTTGGGTAAGAGCTTCCCATAGTGAAAATGAACTCTAAATAACACCAGGGGATTAATGACCTAGAAGCAAAATGGGGTCATTTTTTGAAGGGCAGTAACTAAATTTGTCACATGTCACAATTATTTTTTGTTTGAGCTTAGAGGAAAAAGCAAAAACAGGGGAAGAAGGAGGTTGGCATCCAGTGGACATTGGCTTCCTTTTAATGAGAAGGTCACCATCTCTTGTCACTGTGAACCACACACAGAATTTACAGAGGATATCACTCTACAGAGATACCAGTGACGGTCTTCCCAGGCCTTTAGATGACCCGGGGTTTGAGCCTTCCCCACCCCCATCTCCGCTTCCATCCATAATTCAGTGCTGAAGGCGTGTGCCTGGCTGAAATGTAATAGAAGCTTCCAGGCACAGAAAGTGCTCAATAAATGTTCATTACCACTGCCATCTCGTCCTTGGATAAAATGTGGGCTCAGAGGGGCTTTTATGAACATTAGAAGTAGAGACCATTTCATTGTGCTCTTGCCTCCAGCTTCCCCTGCCCTCGGGGCTGATAGCCGATCCTGAAATATGCCAGGCTTCCGTCACCATGGAACCAGGGCTCCCTGTGCAATGTCTGCAAGAGAAAGGCGGAATGTCCTGGCCTGGCCTCCAGTCTGATGACCTCCTGCCGTCTTCCGAGCTCCTGAGCCCCGCACGGATCCTGGCTTTGCACCAAGAGCTTCGACGAGGCATCAGCAGCACTTCCCAGGTCAATAAATCACCACTGGAGTTATAAATAGAACTGGACCATGCGCTCTCCAGGGCCGTTTCTTCCACACCATAAATAATCTGAAGCAGAACTTTCAGAGAGCGTTTTAAGAAATTGGTAGCAATCAAACCCCTCATTCTGTGGCAACTGGCTTTGCCTGTGGCTCAGGGAGCTGCGTTGATTGTCAGAGCTCGGGAGATGCACTGGACTTGCAGATTCTTAGGAGCACAGCTTTGCAAACGTACAGGCAGCAAAGGGAACATCGACTGTTCCCAAACCTACCAAGTGGCCGGTCCAGTGGCTCTCCACTGGGTGTGATCCCCATCCCCACCCCCACCCCCAGGGCATAATTTGACAATGTCAATATTTTTGCTGTCCCAACTGGGAAGCTCCTGCTGGCATTTAGCAGGTAGAAGTCAGAGATGCTGCTCACCACTCTCCAGTGCCTGGGACAGCCTCCTAGAACAAAGCGAGTCATCCCGCCCAGATGTCAGCAGTGCCAGGTTGGGAGGCCCTGACCTGCTCTAAAAGCTCCTAACCTTGTCAGCTGCAGAGAACTGTTTGGTTATGTTCCTGCCTGAGGCCCCTCCCCACGTTTTAAAAGATTTTTGTCTGCCAAAGATGCTTGATTGAAGTTATTATCTCTTTTACATTCTCAAACATTAAAACCACTTAGAACTTTCCAATAAGTCCATTCATCCAACAAACATTTGTGGAATCCAGTGTATGCCAGGCAATATGATATGAGGGAGAAGGAGGTGAGGTCACGTTGGTCCCTGCCCTGGGAACTCACAGGGCAACAGAGAGATGCAGGTGTAAACATTTCACCATGCTCTCGTGGTTAAATGTGCCCTGGGACGTGAGATGAAGGCAAGGGCTAGTTCTGCCTGGCTTGGAGGAATGGGAACTCATTCAGGAAGGATGGCTGAGCAGAGTCCCTAAGCCCAACGAGGTGCTGAATACACCGGTGAGGTGGGGAAGGGTCTTACAGTCGGAGGGACCAGCAGGGGCCAAAGTCTGAGGCATGAAACTTCCCAGTGTGCAACCAGAGGGGAAGCAGGTAGGGCAGCCCCTTACCAAGCCAGGTGCTAAGAGTTGCTGCCTCATCCCTACCCAGCACTGCTTACTTCCTCCAGGAAGGAAACCCTGTCCTGACCTGGGTGTAGGACCCAGGGGTAGAGGGAGAGGTGAGGGGGCTTGGGTCATGTTAGCCCAGACCCTGTGCCCCCGGCTCACCAATCAGAGACATCATCTCTCTCCTTGGGAGGGGCTGGAGGGAAGGTCAGACTTACCCTCCTAACTCTGTTGTTCCCACCTGGAAGCAGCTGTCATGGGAGGCCAAGGAAGGGCCAGGACAGGAAACTGAGGGCTCCTGGAGCAGTAGGCAAAACGTTATTGATTTTATTTTAATGTATTTTCACTTTTTATGCTGAAATGAAAAATGCAGCCACATAGCCTCACCCAGCTTCCTCGAAGTTAACACCCCAGGTGCCTAACCAGAGCATAAGGATGGAAATGAATAGATTGATTTTGAGGAGGCCTGGGAGGCCATCAAGACAAAGGAAAAGCACCTCCGAGAGCGAGCGTTGGCTCACCAGGCCGCTACCATCTTCATTAGCGCACGGGATGTGTCATGGGTCATCACAATCATCCACGGTTCCTCAGATCGGTTTGCCCATGGATCCACCCATTCATTTGTTCAGTAAGCGTTTGATTTAACTGCCACGTGAGCGCCGGGACCTCGGGGAGGTGCTAGGAAACAGGAAGCAAGCAGATGTCTGTCTCCAGCCTCCAGGACCTCCTGGAAGATGGCCCCATCACACACTGAGTCCCCAGATTGGAATGTCATCCTCACCCTCACAGTCTGAACCAGCCCCGCCACCCCGTGACTGCCGATCGTGCGGCATCCAGCAGAGACCTTCACTACACTGGTTTGCAGTCGTCTCTTTTGCCCTATCCCTGCTTTTTTCTGGAACAATGCCATTCGCTCTGAGCACTGGGACTGCCCTCAAGACAAGCTGGGAACCCAGGATTGTCAGAGTGAGCAGCCAGCTGAGCCGCAGGGCCGAGCCCGCCGGAGGGAGTCAAGGCCATTTCTGGTCCCCAGACACTCCTGCCAGGTTCAGACATCGGTGTCCTTGAGTGCTTCCTTCTGCCACTGCTCACGTTTGGGGCCTCAGCAGAGAGGCCCCGGGGGAAAAATCCATTAAAGAAGTCACAGCAGTCTTGGCAGCGTAACCCGATGATTCCATAATAAATCACAGTCTGAAGCCAGGAGCCACTTAGTACTCTGAGCCGGGAGTCCCACCTGAAGTGGCACTTTGGATCTCCTTGCACTGGGTCACTGCTTTGTATGGTGATTCCTCCTGATGGCACTTTTTCAAGATCAGACTCTGGGAGCTTCCCGGCCTGAACCATAGATTTCAGCCCTTGGAAGGGACCCTGTGTTCCCCTGCTGCCGTTGGTGGGCCTGATGGGACCAGGGCCCAACCTGGTTGGAGCTTCCCAGGCCGGGGACAGGACCTTCCCAGGGTGACCAAACAAGGTCAGGCAGGAACTTGACCCACCGGAGCTGGCTCGGGCCATCCCACGCTTCAGGAGTGACCCGAGGCTTCTGGAGACTAGCCAGATGGTCCAGCCTGGCCGCCTCTGCAGAAAACAATTCATTACATGGCTGTCAGCAAGCAGCAGCCGTGGCCGCCTTGGGGAAGCCCGGCCAAGCTATGCAGAACAGGAGCCCTGCACACAGCAAGGTAAATGCACATCCCACCCCGACTCCTGCGAACGGGCCCCACCTGGGCTTTTAGGCAAATCCGATGAGAGAGTTGGCTTGGCAGGCGGCCAGGAGGTACAAGCGTTGAGTGCAGTCTCCCTACACCTGATTCACTGCCGTTCACTGCTGTGCCCTTCTGGGACGCATCTTGTTCCTGTGGCAAAGAGATCTATTGAGCAAATGTTTCCCTGAGCACCTGCCAGTCGGAGCGGATGAGAAGCTGGGGGCCGGGTCTCAGGAGTCTCACTCTAGGTCCCCATCCTCCAGGCTCCTGGAGGGACGGTTGCACAGATGGACCAGATGGAGTGGCATGAACAGGGTGTGGCAGGGAGCAAGCCGGGGCCAGGGGCGCAAAGCTGAAGCTGATCAGCGAGGGAGGGGTCAGGGAGGACTTCCTGGAGGAAGTGATGACTGAGGTGAGCCCTGGAGATGAGTAGAGGTTGGCCAGGGAGGGAGGCCTTATGGGTAGGGGCAATCACACGGGCAAAGGCTAGGGGTAGTGTCGGGGGTAGGAGATGGGAGGTGGATGGATAAAACATCTTTCTACAGCCCCCCAGTGAAAGGTGATGCTTTCTTGGCACTCCTGTTATGAGTTTCCTGTGTGATTTTACAAGGGTTTGGTCCAGAAGATCCCCTGGAGGAGGGCATGGCAACCCACTCCAGTATTCTTGCCTGGAGAATCCCATGGACAGAGGAGCCTGGCAGGCTATAGTCTATAGGGTTGCAAAGAGTCGGACATGGCTGAAGCAACTTAACACACACACACCAGTGGTTAGGACTTGGGGCTTTCACTGCCTCCAGGGCCCGGGTTCAATCCCTGGTCAGGAAACTAAGATCCTGCAAGCTGAGTAGTATAGCAAAAATATATATATATATATTTTAAAGAATAGTTGCACTGTTTTCCATTGTGTGGACAGCCCTACTTCAGTGGACGTGTACATTGTTTCTGATCTTTTGCTGTTAAATCCAGGACTGTCATGAAGATGCTTGCCCATCCATCTCTTTACTCATGTGTGAATTCATCTGACGGCAGATTCCCAGAATCTGGAATTTCTGGGTCAGAGCAGAGAAGCTTTTGTCACTTTGAGAGCCCTGCCCACCCCAACTCCCCACCCCACTCTGAAGCTGTATGGTTTTCACCCCCACCTCATGATGCTTGGGGGTCCCTGCCATCATGCCCTCAAGGATGTGCTCTTTCAATTTAGCCTTTCCTTTCTGAGCCCCTGCCCTGGGCCGGCGTGGCTCCAGGCGGTGAACTAGAGGAGGGGAGACTGGACTGGGGAGACGGCTCAGTGGACAGCACCTGCTTCCTGACCTCAGGGAGGGACCGTCCAGGTTTCCATTCTGCAGGCGCATCCCTCCTGTCTTTGCTCTGACGCTGGGAGGCAGGTGGCCCTGTTTGGCTCCTCCCCTCACCTGACCTCTCTGTGCCTCAGTTTTTTCATCTGTACAGTGGGGACACAACCTCGGGTGGGTGTGAGGTGTGAGTGAGGGAGTAAAAGCCCCGAAAAGAGGGGCCATGGTGAGAGCGCCAGGAATGCTGCCGTTGTTTCCTCTCAATGAGTGTGATGGAAAAACCGGAATGAGGAGCAATCAAGGAAGTCCAGGGTGAAGAGGAGAGGATGCTGATGCTGGTGGCACAGGTGGAGACAGGGCTTAGGACCGCAAAGGCTCTCGGAGGAGCAGGTGTAAGGAGATTGGGAGGCAGTGATGGTGCTGCTGAGGGTCTGTGCGTGGTGATACAGCCAAGCTCGTCCTGGGCTGTAAGGAGCCTGCCGGAAGCTTTTCAACATTGATGGTCACCAGGAGCTCAATTCCTGTGTGGGAACTGCTGCTGTTTCCATCAGGATCTTTGGTCCTTCTCTTTGGTCTGCCTATTCCTGGAAAGCTTCCCCAGGGCTTTGAGGGTATTTTTGTCCGTGTCTTCAGGAGGCAGGCTGGGCTGGTGTCTCTCACTTCATAAAAGCCCCTGTTCCTCAACCATAAGGATGCTCATTTCTGCTGCTTGGGCCAGTGCTTCTTGCTTCATTTGACTCTCATTAAAAACGAACAGATCTCAGGTGGGCCGTACAGTCTGAGCTGTGCAGGTCTGCCATCCTCAGCTGTGTGACCTGGAGCAAGCTGCTTGCCCACTCTGTGCCTCCGTTTCCTTCAATTTGCTCCTCCCGAGGAGAGTAACCAATTCACCTCCCAAAGTGCATCCCAGAAGGATTAGTGAAAGTGAAAGTCACTCAATCGTGTCCAACTTTTTGTGACCTCATGGACTATACAGTCGATGGAATTCTCCAGGCCAGGATACTGGAGTGGGTAGCCTTTCCCTTCTCCAGGGGATCTTCCCAACACAGGGATTGAACCCAGTTCTCCCACATTACAGGCGGATTCTTTACTAGCTGAGCCACAAAGGAGACCTAAAGACACACTTTCCCTGACCGGGAAATGAACCCGGACCGTGGCAGTGAAAGCACCAAATCCTAGTCACTAGACCACCAGGGATTAAGTAGAGGCTAAATGCCTGCATCGTAGCTGTTTGTAGTGTTGATGTTATTTTCAAGTACAACTTGCTGGTATGCCTTCAGCATACCAGCATCCCCTACATCCAGAGAAAATGTTTTCAAAAATACAGAAATTACCGGTAAGCCTGGAAAATAATTTCCTGAGCTGCTTCTTCCCTCCAGTGAGTCCGAGTCTGCAGGACCAGCCCAGCCTCAGGTGCTGGTATTCAGCCCTTCAGACATCTGACCGACAACTCCCTCCGTCCTCATCCACCGTCTGCTCCATCCACAGGGTGACCAACTTGCCCACAGGGCCCTGCCTCTCAGCACCTGCCGTCCTGGCCACTCTTCCCAGGCTGTCCTCCTTGAGAGCAGTTCCAGGGTGCAACAGAGCAGGCTCTGGCCTCAAAGTCTACCTGCCGTTTCTTTTCTGTGTGACCTTGGGCCCCTCGGGACCTCAGTATTCTCATCTATAAAATGGGGGCACTTAAAGGACCTCGTATCTTAGGAAGACAGGTTAGTGCAGCATGAAGCACAGAACTCAGCTCATTGTGCAAGATATTATTACTGTTGTTGCTGCTGTTAAGTCCTCTACCTGCTAAAGTCAGGGCTCAGCGTGTCTTCCCATTCCTGGAATTGCATAAAACACAGTGCCCCCTCACTGACCAGATAACGGCCATTGCGGCCCCAGGCACTGGGCGCTCATTGCTTTTATGCAGTGTGTCTCTGAAATTCCTCACTGATCAGCTTATGAGGGATGGTGGCTTATCCCCTTATTATGCAGCTGAGAGAACTGAAGTTCACAGAACATACTGGTAGAGCCAGGATCTGAGCCCCAGTCTGTCTGGCTCTTACTCTGAAATTAGTTTTTCTTCCATTGGACCTTGAACCCCAGTGCCTGACACAGAGGCCCTCACACATGTACCCGTGTAATCCACCCCGCCCCATGCATGCCCCTGTCTACATCCAAGGAGTTAAAGAGACTTAAAGTAACAGACATGGGTGCCAGGAAGCCTGCACACAGCAGTGAAGGCCTAGTATAGCCAAAAATAAAAATAAGTAAATAAAAGAAATTTAAAAAAAATAATCTTTATTATAGAGTGAAAACTTCTGTTCAGCTTTTCAGTCGTGTCTGACTCTTTGTGACCCCATGGACTGCTGCATGCCAGGCCTCCCTGTCCATTACCAACTCCCGAAGCTTACTCAAACTCATGTCCGCTGAGCCAGTGATGCCATCCAACCATTTCATCCTCTGTCGTCCCCTTCTCCTCCCGCCTTCAGTCTTTCCCAGCATCAGGGTCTTTTCAAATGAGTCAGTTCTTCTAGGAAAGACTAACTATACCCCCCACACTGAGGTTGTGGGCAGCTGTGACAACTGAATGCAAAAAATGAGTTCTGAGCTTCCTGGTAGTCGAGGCAAAAAGGAAAATAGCATGTGTTTGATTGCACTGAATCGCCAATGAAAGGAAGCAGACTGGAGAACTTTGCTTCGAGCTCTGAGCTCCTCGGGGACTCATCCTGAGGGTCTCTGTACAGTGAAAGGGGGATAAACAGTGGCTTGCATCCCTAGGAGGACACCTGCCCAACCATGGGGGGGGGTAGGGGGGGAGGGACAGCTCATACAAGCTGCTTCCTGGACTTCCCTGGTGGCGCAGTGGATAAGAATCTACCTGCCAATGCTGGGGACATGGGTTCCATCCCCTGTCTGGGATGATCCTACATGCCGCAGGCAACTAAAGCCTGTGCGCCACAACTACTGACTCCCTGCTCTAGGTCCCAAGAACCATAACTGATGAGCCCGAGTTGCCGCAACAAGAAAAACCACCCCAATAAGAAGACTGGGCATTGCAACCAAGAGTAGCCTCCCTGCTCACTGCAACAAAGACCAGAGCAACCTGAATTAGAAAAAATAAAATCTAATAGAAAATAAAGCTTAAAAAAAGCTGCTTTGTGCCCCCATCTGTGCCATGGACCACACCCACCTTCACAGGGTTCTCACAGCTCCTTGGGCTCACAGCATCATCACTCGCCCTTTAAGGTGAGACCGCATAGACAGACCTGGTGTTAAGTTTTCTTGGCCTGTAAGGGACAAAGCTCTCAGAACGGGTGCCAGCCGTGCTCCTAAGCTCTGCCTCTCTGCTGTGCTGCCTGGTTGAGGGATGCCCCGCCGCTTGGATTACTGCCCAGAGCTAATCCCCTCCATTACTCCTCCCAACCCCCTCCCTCTCTCTACTCCCCACTCTCCCTCCCCCCACCCACCTGCAGCCCTCCCCCACAGGCAGGCACATCAATTCTCCCCTTGGCTATAAATCTCCGCCAAAAGCTCCCGAGGGCCCCAAGCCCTCCAGGGCTCCGCTCCAAGACTCGCAGCTCTGACTGCTGGCGGCTGAGAGTAATTGAGCGACGGGAAGCAGGTGTGAAGCTGGAGGTGGGGAGAGTGGGGGGCAGGGCTCACTGCTTCCAGCTGCTGCTGTGGCTTCCCACCCTC